CTGTACAATTCCTTAGCAGAAAACTAATTTGTTAATAGAAAACCAGACATGGTCAAAGCCAATTTAATACTTTCTAAAACTCTAAAAAATAAAAATAAAAAAAAAACTATATTTGTTTGCAGGTACAATTAGTAAGCAGACTACTTATCGTTGTTTAACTTTCATTTAAGAACTAGCCAACACTATGGTTTTCTATTGTATAGTTCTATAGCTCGTGAAGGTCAGAGTCAAAAGCTTAAACTCCAGGTTCTTCTGAGATAAAGGCACTGAGCTTTGCAAAGTTATGCTATTATCCCTGGTTATAATCTTCACTGACTTCAGAAATAATTGCTTTGCTTAAACAAAAAGGAAGTCTGATTCTAATTTGCTATCTAGATCTACATTCTTATATTCTTTTTATAGATTTTTGAACAAGTTATCACTGGAATCTTCCTTCACTCAAACATAAGTGAAAGTTTTATCTTACTTCGGATATCACAAAAATAATTTATGACTAAGGAAACAAAACCTTTTGTCTCACAATATATTTCTTTGCGACAGCTGTGGTATTTCACTGAAAGCACAAAAGCTGTGATGGTCTGGACTGCAATCAACCATTTTTAATAGGAAATTTTTACAGACTTTTAATAAGATCTCCTAGCATAATTTATGGGGAGAGGTTTTGAAGTGAAGAGGCATTGTTTGGCAAAGTGTTCTTCCTCTAATCTCAGGAAATTTAAATAATCGAGTGCTCATTTCCTCTAAACTTAGGACTTCTCCTTTAAAAAAAAAAAAAGGTTAAGAAAAACACCTGCTACACCAGCAGCAAAATAAGTGCATCTAGGGTCCAAACACAGTATATTTCTAACAGCTTTTCAAATGCAAAATGCTTCATGTCAGAACATAATATTATTAATAGCAACACAATATTGAACTTTGTCTGTTAAATTCAGGATATTTAACAAATACTTTCAATGCAGATAGCATGCTGGTCAGGACAACTGTATTTTGTTTTGTTATGTTTTGTTTCAAACTCATATAGTTAGGTGGATTTTAAATAAGTGGACAGGCACGCACAATTTACAAACATTATAAGAAAACCAGAGAAGCACCAAAAGTTATTACACTTACTGAGGCTATCCAGAATTCCTCCGATTACAGAACTTGGTTGGGAAGAATAAGGACAACAGGCTTTCACTGAGATTTCTGACACATCTTGCAGGAAGATACTCAAAGGGTATTGCAGCACTTTCTCTTAAGTCCCAGACAGAACTAGGGGGAAAAAAAAAAAAAAACAAGCAAACAAATAAAAAACAAAACACATACAAAGTAGGAAGCACATTTCTATATATCAATAAAGTTAATCAAAGTTCCTGAACATAAAACAGCTTCGGTCTGGCTAACTGGGATTTTGGATGAAGTTCTGATTTTTTATTTTTACCTTTTTGACTTTTCTGGGTAACCAAGTGTCCGTATTTCTGACTTTGAGTAACAGCGATGCTAACCGTGTTCCCACACTCTAGGTTGGTTAGAACGCCTCTCCCAAAGGAGAAGGAAAAAAAAAATAAGCACAAGGAGGAAAAGCCTTTAAAGGAGGGGCTCGTGAACAGCCCAGGTACAGTTGCGGTACCCGGGACTCACCCAGGTCACTGTGTGCTGAAGACCTCAAGAGGGCACTCAGCACAAAACATACTGCATTCCAAAAGTGAAAGGTGTCTACAGTTGTGTCACTGGCCACTTTCCACAAAAGGCAGTTATCCTTACCCAGTTTTCCAAACGATTCAACTCAGCATTTATCTCCTCATCAGTTCAGTTTAGATACAGAACTGTTAAAAAAGAAAAAAAAAAAAAAAAAACTGTAAAGGGAAAATAAGCCATTATTGGATCAGTGCTTCTTTTCTATATTGAAGAAGATCCCTTTCATTAATGCTTTTAAGAAATGAGGGTTCCTCAGTTTCTAGAGTCAGCCCTAAAACCTTCCTTTTTCAAAAGCTGTCTGTTGCTTTCAAAGAGTTATTGCCTTCAGAAATATTGCTTTTACATTCGAGGCAGGCCGGACAGAATACTGCTTCTTCAGACTCCATCTCTCTGGCCTGGCTACGGAACCGAAACAAAACCCACCCAGTTTACAGCGAGTGCCGGTCAAAACTCATCTCCTGCCTTCAGCAGCCGAGACCTAGCGGGATGCTTCCTTCCCTGCCCGTGCACGCACCGGGCAGCAGCCAGGTCTGTGCCCGTCGGGGCTGCAGGGCACTGACCCAGGCTCCGCGCTCCTGCTGCAGCCCAGGCGGCCTCTGCAGGGCTCTCTGGCTCCCCAGGCAGAGCCTTATCCCCATCCCCGGCCGGTTTCTGCACTGCCTTCACAGCCTGCAAATGGCATTATAAACAATTGCCTCGTTCCCACAGAGATGTCATTATTCCAATAAAACTGAAACCCATTCTTCTACCACATCCTCTTTACATCGGTAGTTTCACAAAATGCATACTGCCCCTTTTATATTCAAAGTGGACTTCCTGATGCACAAGTTCAAACTCCAGCTATCATCTATCATCTTAATTCTTCTGGGACAAATAAAGTATCATGCAACATACCATATGTGGATATTTCAGCAGAGCTCTTTAGAGGCATATCCTGTCTACTCCGTGTGATCAATGGTTATTTTATGTTTGTATATTTAGAATAATGCACGGCAAACCTCCATCTGGGTGCACTACCTTAAGAAAAAAAGAAAAAAAAAAAAGAAAAAAAAAAAGACATTAAGGTTGGGAGTCAGTTCCTGATGTGACTTGAGCCATTTCTATACTCTAGGGCATCTGAGACTTCTACAGAGGAATCTCAGACAGAGTGTGTAGCCACGCATGATGTCCTAAAACATAAACTGGCACTAGGCACATACGTCAGCACCTGAATCTCCCGAAGGTCTGGGGCACCCCCATTCCCCAGTGCACTAGATGCCAGGTTACCTTTGTTCTCACAGGGCTCTGTTAGGCAGCACTCGGTGAGAGTCACCTGCACTTTAAAAATACTTAAACACTCTGAAAATCAAATCCCACCGCAGATTAGGCACACAAGGGAGAGACGTGTATGAATAACTTTCAGAGATACGTTGTAGATAATCAGCGGTATTACTGCTGATCTACATATTAGGAAAGAATTGTAACACTACTTTAAAAGTAACACAAGCTTGTAGATGAGCCAAACCAACGTGATTCCTGAACGCTAATAAAGGCACTGTGGGCCCTTAACAGGCGGAATGGGCTCAGTGCTGTGGAAACACAGAAGCAGGTGCTAGAGCTGCCCTGCTTTTCGGACTGGGAAACTGACTCCAGGTGTTATTTGGTCATGTTTGTAGGCGGGAGAAGAGGGGGGTGAGATTGTACTCAGCAGTCTTATTAACTTAGGGAATTTAGGTAAGTTTTTAAGATGGCTTTATTTCTGCAAGATATACTGGATATAGCAGTAATAAGGCGATGCGACTAATAATTAACTACTAGGTAGCCTTTAATAAAAGGTTGAAACTGCTAGTGTTTTTAACAACTTCTATGTGCGTTATATAAAAGTTGTATTAGAAGTATTTCCTGAAATGTTTGGTGGGGTAGAATAACAAAGGGTTTTGAATAGAATCACCTTATGCACGTTAGCTATGATGTAGATATGTGCAAATGTGTAGAACTCTGAGTATAGAGCCGAAAACCATAAAGGCTGTGCTGAAATCCCACAACATTCCCTCAAACTTTGGATTGAGACTTTGCTGCAAATTGCCCAGTAATTCCATGACAGATTTTTTTTTTTCTGTTCAGCTTTTTGTAGAAGGGATGGAACTTCCACTTCCCAGCCAGTGAAGCCGAATTCATAAAAATTTGTTTTACTGAAGAAGAAAAAAATTTCATAAGGAATTTCCATGACAACAAATATAGGACATGCTATTTTTAAGCATTTTCTAAAGAGTTTTCCTTTAGTCTATAAATCCTTTGAGCTCATTGTCAATTGCTGGCTGTTCCTAGTCACCTTTCAACATATTGGCACAAAGGTTATGGAACTCTGTACAAACTCCAAGGTTGCCATCAATACTCAAAGAGCCTCCCAAGTTTGCATAAAAGATTTCTGAATACAGACCACTGAGAATATCAAATATCAATGCTAAAGTCCCTTTTTAATCACGTTTCCTTATTTATTGCTAAAATCTAATTTGTAAAGTTGGGGCTAGACGAGTGTTTCACTAACAGCCAAGTCCCTCTTTGCCAAACGGCCTTAGCACACAGTGGTATGACCAATAACCACCTAACTTTTTGCATACTGCAGATTATTTGTTTAAACTCTTGAAGCATAAAACACCACCTCCAGCCCCGGAGCACTATATCTCATCTGGTTATTTTACATCGGGGACCAGGCTTTACAGAACACGCTCTCAGGAAGGCGGTTCACACGTTCTAGTGCAAACAACGCCAAACACAGCGCCTGAGCCGCAACCCCGGCTTTAACGGGGAAATCAGTTCAGAGCTTTTTTCCTGGCACTTCAGCACTCCATTCCTGGTTGTCAGGTGCTATTTCTCTGAAGGAGTATTTCAGTGGTTCAATGGTTTTTAGAGCAACTAAAAGCTCCGTAACTACTTTTTAGCAGTACTGTTATGTAGCAATACGAGGCTATCTGAATCCTGAATGATTCAATGTTTTTTAGAGTAATGAAGATCTCCACAATTACTTTTTTAGCAGGACTCTTACGTCGCAACGAGAGGCCACCTGTGAACCTTTTGCAGTAGGAATTGTCCAGCTCTTACTAAATAAAAGTCTTTGGAAATGTTTTAAGGCAGGCAGTTGCGACTAAGGGCTTTTTTAAATGACTATTAATGAACACTAGGCGCATGCCAGCGACTTGGAGCTCTGTGCGTTGGAGACACGGGGGTAGCAGCAGGGCAGCCCCGCTCCGTGAGGGGGACGAGGACGGAGCCCCTCAGGCGGCGCCTCAGCCCCAACGGTCGCCACGGGCGCGAGGCGGGGCTGCGGGCGGGAAGGGGCGGGAAGGGGCGGCTCCCCCCGCCCTCCCCTCACCATGAGGGGAAGCGGAAGAGGCGCGGTCCCGGAACCCCCGCTCCTTCCCTCCCCTTCCCTTCTGTCCCGGCGGCGGTAGCAGCGGCGCCATGAGCGTGCCCGCCTTCATCGACATTACGGAGGAGGACCAGGTGCAGCTGGGGGGGGGCCGGGGATCACCGGGGGGAGCTGGGGATCACCGGGGGGACCGGCTCCGTCCCCGAGCGGCCGGTGCGGCGGAGGGGCCCCCGGGGTTGGGGGTGTGAGGGGCTGTGCCCGCTCGCAGCCAGCGCTCTGTGTGTGTGTGTTTGTGGCAGGCCGCCGAGCTGCGCGCCTACCTGAAGGGCAAGGGCGCCGAGATCTCGGAGGAGAACAACGAAGGCGGGCTCCACGTCGACCTGGCGCAGATCATCGAGGCTTGCGACGTGTGCCTGAAGGAGGATGACAAAGGTTGGCTCCCCGAACCGCCACGGGTCTGGCTAGGCGGCATCATCGCCATCAGTTCTTAACAATAAGCACCTGGGCAGAGTTTAGGGGTGTATTGCGTGTTTTACACATCGACACGTGCACCTCTATAGGATCAGAAGCGCCTTGCTACAGCGTGGCCAGATAAAACCTGCGTCTGCGCCACTCCTCCCCTCCCCAAACTCCTTCTGATCTCTTGGGAGAGATCAGAATGGGGCTAGGCCATGCTCGTTGGGAGGGCACGTGGAGCTTTATGTCAAAGCTTTCTTTCTGAAAAAAGTGAGTGGTGGAGTAAGATTCGCTTCTGGTTAATGGCTGTGGTGCTGTGTGGCAAATAGGTAGCAATAAAAACCAAGACTGTAGACACCTGTAACTAAAAGTATTAAGGCCTAAGCATTAGTTGGTTAATATTGTCTGGAAACACTGGGGTCTCTCAGCAGTCAGTACTGGTTTTGAGCTAGGATATAAATCCTTAGAATCCACACTGCTATGGGTTAGTGACACTGATACTGCAGTAGCCCGAAGTGATCTTTCTGTGCTGATACAAAGTTCCATTTAGAACTTCTACCTGTAAAAATAATTGCTGATTATTAATAATAAGTGTTTGAAAGAATGTAGGGTTTATCTGAGGAATACATACAATTATCGTTCGTTTTGCCTCTTAACTGTAGGTAAATGAGTATGAAATACTGGGGAACCTTATCGCAGTACTGTCTGATGTTCAGGTGTCATTAAGAGAAATACATATTTGCCATGTGCACTGAATTTTTTTGTTGTTACACTTTCTGTAACTGATACCTGGGCAGGCTGTGAGCAGAATACCTGCCAGGCTCTATTTGTGCAGCATGTAATGCCATACTTGAAACAGGCCACAGAGACCTCTGCACGTGCTTTGTTCTTCTGAGCACTTTTCCTGTGGTTTGGGTTTCCCTTGCACTGAGCACCAGGTTAGGATCCTTGCTTTAAAACAGTTTTCTAGATGTGCAGGGGAAACCCACTGCTTTATTTAAAGGGCAAAACCTGAAGCTCCCCTGCCTTCTCTTCTCGGTGAACAGAGAATTTGAAGCAAGTCAGATACCAAATGCCAAATTCTGTTTTTACCTGGCAGTGGCAATTCTTGCTTTAAATTGACACGTGTTAATAAGAGACCACGTCTCTTGATCTCTTGAACCAAATCTCTTGAACATTCTGATGAATATCCACATTGGTTATGTTGGCATCTTATCCCTTACAGTTCATGCCAATGCTAAATAAGCGTTCCCAGCAGAAGGAACTCTACAGCACAAAATAGCTATTGATGATGGTTGCTGCTGGCAATTTTAAACAGCTGTGTATTTCGTTTTGTGCAGATGTTGAGAGCGTAATGAACAGTGTAGTTTCTTTGCTTCTTATCCTGGAACCTGACAAACAGGAAGCATTGATTGAAAGCCTGTGTGAGAAACTAGTAAAATTTCGGGAAGGAGAGCGCCCATCTCTCAGACTGCAGCTGTAAGTATTCCACAGAGAAGCTGAGATAATGGTGTCTTGCAAAGTAATCCTTCCTCTAAGGAGAATGGATTGTTTCATGTGTCTCTGGAAATGAAAGTGTGGGGTGTCTGTTGCAGGAAGCACAGAATTTTTGGCTTCTCTGCCACGACCTGTTATAAAATTGAATGCTGTTACAATTCTTCATGGACTTAAGGTATTGCCAGGTGCTTTGTGTGTGCTACCACGCATCTGGACAGAAACTTATTCTGCGCTCCAGTGAAGATTCTCTAAACCTTTTAAACTCAATTGTTTGTTGTTTGTGGTTTAGACTGAGCAATCTCTTCCATGGCATGGATAAGAACACTCCCGTGAGATACACGGTATACTGCAGCCTTCTTAAAGTGGCCTCCTCGTGCGGTGCCATCCAGTACATTCCAACTGAACTAGATCAGGTAATTAATTATGGTGGTGCATCAAGTTACAGCCATTGTATTAACAGTGTTGCATCTCACAAAGTATTAGTCAGAGTTGATACAGGCCATTTTTCCCTGCTGTAAATTGCTAGACACTACTGAAATAAGAAATGTAGAACATGACTTCTTACCTTTTAAAGGTCCGTGTCCAGAATCTAAATCAAGGTGCTGTTTATTTTCCGTCTCTGATGCTGAGCATAGTTAGATGTGTCTGATTCTTGTAATGACAGTGAGAAGCTTTGATCAGGAATTGGGACAGAGAGTTCTTGTCCCTCCCTCTGGAATCAGAATATATTGGAATCACATGGAGAGCACAGACATCTGGCCTTGTCATGGGAAAGCTTCCAGGTGCTGCATGGGGAGCCTGAGAGACAGAGGACCCACAAGAGAAATCTCTGTGAAAGATCTCTTGAATCCTTTTCTGCTTGAGAGTAAACTAGGAGTATTTGCAGTTTGTTGTTACCTTTTTTTCCAATGCTTCCTTTTCACTTGTATTCTCCTTAGGTCCGAAAATGGATTTCTGACTGGAATCTCAGCACAGAGAAAAAGCATACTCTTCTGAGACTGCTGTATGACGTCCTAGTAGACTGCAAAAAGAGGTATAAAAAACAAGTAATAACTGCATCTTAAATCAATCTATTGCAAGTGATTTTTAGTAAAAGTGTTTTTCGTGGCATTTTAAAATGAACCTGTACTGATAATTCAGTTCTAAGGTACCCCCTTTTTTCTGTTTTTATAAGCATTGTTGCATTAAAGCAGTTTTTGAAGTTAGTAGTGAATTAGCTACAAACCATAGACTCCCAAAATAAAACTATTCCTTTCTATAAATACTAATCTTCAAGCATTGTAATGTTGTGCCAAGTTTATTATTTAATTGCACTTTTGACATTTCAGTGCATGGTAGTGCTATCTCTTAATGATGTTGGGAGGCTTATCAATCACAGTTAACAGGATCGGTCTTCTGTATAAACATTACCTTTAGGACAAAGCTTTCCACTAGTCATCAAAATTAATGTCTGCAGAATACCTGCTTGACCATTTTAAATCATTATCCTGAATCCTAAGAGGTATCTTTGATCTAACAAACTTGGCAGACCAGTGTCTTCTGGCATGCAAAATAATGCTGTGCGTACTGAGCCTGTTAATTAGCCTAAGTCTTAACTGAGAGCTGTCATCAGTTTATCTCAAGTACCTGATATCGAGTACCTGGTATTAAGTGCGTTGGCCAGGGCTGTTGAGATGGGCTGGTACTTAGAAGTGGTTTCAGCATGTAAGTTCCACAGCTGTTTCAGCCTATCTACATTGACCTCACTGTAATTTGGGGGGAGAAGCAGCTTTTCCTATGCTTGCATAGCGTTGTATTGCTGCAGACCTGTTCCTGTCCTGTCCCTCCATGTACTGGAACCAGTGTGTGTGCAACTGTACGTGGATTGGACTAGGGAGGTGACTTGCTGAAAAAGCAAGTGTGTGGTGCTGTCGTAGTAGGAGGAAAGTTTCTTCTGGCAGGAGAGTTAGTTTATTTGGGCCTGGTGAAATTGTAGCCTGGAAATGCTGTGTCAGCATAGCCGGATCGCTTTTACCTCACCTCCATTTAGGGATGATTAATGGAGTAGTTACACTGTGAGTTATGTTACTGTGATTTCCTGTCGCTAACATTAAAATGCTTTTGTACTGATAGTATTTATGAGATTTCAAAAATATTAATCAGATCTTGTATGTGGCATAGCACTTAGTTTATTTTAGAAATATGCTGGTATTCCGTAATGCTCGTACTCTAAACGCTTGGTTTACTGAGAGGTTTTAACTAGTTTAATTTCCATACTTAATAGCTAACTATTTTTAGGTAGTCTTGTTATCAAATCTGTGGATTAAACTCGTAACTTTTGTTTTCAGTGCTACTAGTAACCTTGCTACCAAAGTTACTTTGTAGTTAACTGCCAGATTTCATTAATAAAAACACAACACTGCTCACCAATAATAGGTGACATTTTTTAAATTAGGCATTTAAAAACTTTCACTAACTCTGTAATATATTACTCCTGCACTCAGTGTCCTTACCATCTGTTGCAGTGAGCTTTGCACTGAACTGAGCGGTTTTTCAGAGCACTTATATTTCTCTCCAGGAAAGAAAACAAGAAGTGACCCTAGCACCTTTGACCTGGTTCATTCTCCTGGATCAGTGGGCAGTATTTGCCATAGTATGGGAAACTCACAGCAGCATTCCAGCTTTTGCACGCAGGAATGTTGCTCTACCTAGCAGTTTGGGAAGATAAGGGGGAACTGAAAAATAAGCAATAAAAATCCTACCTCAGTTACCACGTTGATTTATAATAAAGGAAAAAACCCACAGTGTTGAAAGCAATGGGATTGGTTTTTTTGGTTTGTTTTATGTGGCAGAAAAGATGGCTTTCCAGACCTAATAGACTTTCTCCAGTGGATAGCTCAGTAGTGAACAGCTTGTGAAAAGTAGATACACAGATGTTAAGTTTGTTGTTCCTTTTCCTGCAGTGATAAGTGAAAGCTTGTTTTATTAAATCTTTTCCAGTCACTTTCTGGTTGAAGTTTCTTCTTAGTGATGATCAAAATCATCTTGATCTCTTTGAAGAAGGATTCTTATCTTTCCCATGATCAACTGAAGAAAAATTGGTGGTGGTGGCTGGAGAACAGATGGCTGCGGTGGCTTGTTTCTGAGATCTGTATTTGTTAGCTGAAATTTGCAGGACATTAGTTACTTTCGCTGCTACTTATGATCCTTGTCATAAAGGTTCTGTAATAGTTTTGTGCCTCAGCTTTAATATGCAGCATTTTCCTAGCTGTGTTGGTATGAAACTGCAAGGTAACGCAACCTGTTTTCCAGGTGCAAGTGAAGTTTTGCAGTTTTCCTGCCATTGACCTGGCAGGATTCAGACTGGGGTGAGTCTTGTCCAAGTTTACATTCAGACAGGTCTGGCAAGTCTGGTTATTTAGCTGTCTTGCTAGAAAAGTGTTCACACTTAAATCCTAAGTGAAATCCATGCTTAGCAATGAGCTTTGGTGAAATGATGATCTGTATCACTGCCTTAAACACTCTAATTTGTAGTACTAGTCTGACACTGAATAGAGTAAGATGAAATAATAAAAGGAATAGAAGAATTCTGGTGTATTTGCTGAGGCTTACAAGGCTTTAGCACAGGAAGTTTGGGAGTGATTGTCTTGTAGCATTCTGATATTTCCTAGAAATACAATATGCTGCTTCTCCCCCTTCAAAAAAGGGGGGGAGGGAGTGCAGATTTCATTTGAAGTGAGTGAAAAACAGAGTTTTAACTTTTGCTACCAAGGGAGGGAGAAGAGGAGGAAAGTTCCAGAAATCTAACATAGTTTGAAGTATATAAGTACAAAAATAGAAAATTTATATTAAATGTGGGGACTTATATTGTTAGGTCGAATAGAACATCAGCTGAGCCTCTTTGTTTGAATCCCTCTATAGTGCAAGTCCTATATTAAAATGGTTCTTTGTCTTCACTAATTATTGAGCATTGATAAGGCTTCACTAGTGGAGAAATCAGACTGTTGTAGACTGACACACAGGCAAATATTTCTTGCATGTGTAAAACTGTCTGTGTTCAATTTCACTGATACAAAGCTATCAGTTCTACGCATCAGTATCAGTTGCTGCAACAAAGCATAGGCCAACCTCTTTAATGGCAGAATCTTAAATATTTTGGTCAAGGTTTCTGTTCAAAACCATTTGGGAATAATGGCTGGCACCTGTAAAACTTCTCTGCCTTTGGTACAAACTGTCTTTTTACTCAGTGGACATCCAGATTATATACGATACTGTTTGTTTCCCATGCTTTGCACTGCACATAAATGATATCTGCCGAATTTTCTAGGAGCACAAAACCTCACCCTATAGAGAAATTGCCAAATAGTAATACTGAGAGTTGTAAAATTAATATCCATGTGAACGTAGTCTTTGGACTATAAAAACCATGCTAGCTTGTGCTGCTACGTAGGATAAACCCATATCAGCATGGAAAATTGTATAAGTCTATCAGGCCACACTTGTGTACAGGTTTTGGCTGGAGTACAGTTAATTTTCTTCACTGTAGCTTGTATAGGCAATGTTGCTTTATCTGGAGTTCAGTTACTTTCAGGGAAGAGTTCAGCTTTACATTGTAACTCACAGAGTGATATCCAGCCTTACTGAGACAATATTTCTGTCTAAAGGGGACCCCAAGTATATGTGCAGAAAAGCAGCAGAACACTTGCCAGTCTGTCTATATTCACTGCATGTGTTTTTTGCTGAAAATTTTGTGAAAAAGCATGAGAAGTTAGTGTTCTCAATAGTGGTGAGAACCACTGCTTGAAAATAAATCAAAGTCAGTTAAAATTACAGTATCTGTCTTGGAGCTGGTTTGCAGCAATGTCAAGGAGCTATTTAAAGAAATCATCAGGGCAGACAAGACTGTGGATTTACTCAGTTTTCTTCAAATGAATGCTTTTTCTAAAAGCTGTCTGTCAAACCAGTGTTGGAAGCTGCTTCCTTTGCAGCAGCCTAAGCCAATCTAATTGCTGGCTGTGTAACTTCATCGATGAAATGAGCAGCTCTCACTCTGAATACTTGGAGAGAATCTGTGAACGAAGAAAAGGGAGCTTTTACACAGTCACTTTTCTGACCATAAATATTCTTTAAGATATGCCATTTTACATTTGAAATAAACTTTGCAGTGCTACTTATTCTGCAATGATTAAATCCAGATGTGCATGAGAAGAGCATTCTAGTGAACCATATAAAGCTGTTCCTAGCTCAGAGAGCTTTTTCCATAACCAGCAGGTAATCTATCAATTTAAGAGAATGAAATGAAGGGTGAAGATAAACATTTTGTAGAACAAGAATTGAAAGAATACATCTAGTTAATTTGTTCTCTCCACTAGAATTAAAATGGATCATCTACCTCTTTTCAAGTGTAACTTAATTTGACCTGTAACATCTTAATGGAATTAATCAAATATTTGAGTGTCTTGTTTGAACTTTTTTTTTCCCCAGAAATCCTGAGTTAACTTTGTTTTTCTTTCATAGCGACACTGCAGCAAAAGTAATGGTGGAGCTATTGGGGAGTTACACAGAGGACAACGCTTCCCAGGCTAGAGTTGATGCTCACAGGTAGTACTGACTTCCTAGTTCCCTTACGTGGCTTTTTCTAAATTGCTGAATTACGTTAATTGCCTTACTATTAAAGAATATTGCATGTCCTGGCAGGCAAGGGCCCTCCCGTGGCCCTTTTTCTATAGCATAGCTGACTTGATAAGGAGTTTATCTGTGCAGCCTGCGGTAGGTTAGCTTGTTTCCAGGCTGTCAGGTTTACTCCACTGCAAAAGTGTTGCAGGCATACTTGTGCTCACCGCTGAGAAAGAGCAGCCTTGCTAAGAAGGTTGTTTACATCAACTATGTTATCAAAAGTGTAAAAAAATCTGAGAAGATGTCAATTCCTCACTGATTATTTGATTATCTAACTTAAATACTTTTTTTCAAATGGCACTTTCTATTGAAAATAAATTCTTGCTCTTTGCTATTAGCGAGGACTAAGGATGTGAACTGCACAGAAATAAAATTACTTGGTGGACATGCTGGGAGTGAAGATGATTCTTAATTTACTTTCCCCACAGGACAAAATGTGTAAAAGCTTATTTTCATGTTCTGTCTGTTGTTATTACTCTTAGGAATTAGATATTTAATAAGTCATGTAGATATTCTGGGTGTGTAATAGCTTACACTTGAGCAGCAGGAAGACGAAATGACTCATTTTGAAAATTAGAGCGTCTCCATAAGTAAATGAAAACTTTAATGGCTACCACTGAGGCCTTTTTACCTCTGAAAGAACGTGTGTACTCTGGGTTTGCTACAGCGCTGCCTCTGTGCAGACTAGGTTCTTCTGGATGCATGTTATGTGGTAGGGTCATGGTCTAGGCCATTGGTGCTAGTGTAGCACTGACAACCTTCTAATGTGCTGCTGAACAAAAGCTTTCATCTAGAGTTCTAGAAACACTTTAGGAGTGTTTATAGTCTGGAGCTGCAACTGATAAATCATAGGTCTTGCAGTGTTTGGTACTGAAGATTTCTCTGCTTTGTGTCACATGTTCCAAGTATAATTAATCTTCCTAAACGACTTAATTCTATGAAGTTTTAGGAGAACAGTAAAAATACCACAAGGAATGAAGATCTGGCTGGAAACAAATGCATAGATGGAAACAGAAGGTTGATCTGTAGCCTTACCACCTGGCAAATTTTATTTGTGATATTGGGCAAAGTACTAACAGTTCCTGTTTGTTTTGTTTGTCTGTTAAACAAAGATTAAAGTTACCTAGGAATGTGATACGCCTTATATTTAAGAATAGTTGAAAACCACAGAATATTTCCTAGAAAATCAAGAAAAACAAATTGAATTGCATTTAATCATAAAAATGTGTATTGTTGTAAAAAAAAAACAAAAGTAAAATCTCCTTTTCTAACTAGATGCATTGTGCGAGCATTGAAGGATCCAAATACCTTTCTCTTTGATCATCTTCTTGCCTTAAAACCAGTCAAATTTTTGGAAGGAGAACTTATTCACGATGTAAGTAACTTTGATTTTAGCAAGTTGGTTTGATACCTCTTGAGTGCCTCCTTTACTGGTTTCTTTGGAAATTCATCAAAGTAGTTGTCTGTTGGCAATCTGCAATGTACTTTTGTTATTGCTTTTAAAATTTTTAAAAAATGTTACATGTAAAACATAGCGTGGATAATAGAACATTCCCCTTTAGAAGCATCAGAGTTACAAATCCTGTCTTTTCATGAATTCTTGTGGCAAAACTACCTTTCAGGTTTGAGAAAAGAAAGCACAGCATGGGTTGCCCTTGGCTGGTGGCAGCAGCCAGAATTTTAACTTTTTTTTGCATTTGTTTTTCAGTTTAATAGTAAAGTGGTGTTTATATATCTATCTGTGCAGCCCTCAAGAAGGGAAACAGAAAATGTTTAAACTGTTCATATGCTTGTTTTCTAGCTTTTGACAATTTTTGTAAGCGCGAAACTAGCATCCTATGTCAAGTTTTATCAGAACAACAAAGACTTCATTGACTCCCTTGGTAAGTTTTCAAATCATTATGTTTCTGACTGTTTCCATGGTTTAAGATAATAGAACCCACAAACTGTTTCAGTTTCAACAGAAATACTGAAGCCAGAGAATTTTAATGGGATTTTTTTTTTTTTAAACACTGGATTAGAGTTTGTAGAGTCCTGCTGGTTCAGAAATGGACCATCTAAAAACTATGGCTTCTTATAGTAGGACAAGCATTAGAGGGGTTTGGAAGATGACTATTTTCTCCTAACTTCTTTTCATGTAATCCTTTTGGGGGCGAATTTGTAACACGTTGCTACCCTAGGCTAGGTGAGAGATGACAGTTTTCCAACAAAAACAGCAGCTGGTATAAATCTTTTTTATGATCAGTAAGTTTACAACAGCAAATACTTTTCCTGAATGGTAAGGTAAAACATGCAAAGTACAGTGTGTGCGTGCACGCGTGCGCTGATGCATTAGACCTAGCAAGCCACAGTCTGTCCCAGTTAATTTGTTTCATCACATGAAGCAATGTGATGGAATGTTAATGTCAGCACCCTCTTTATTTACACACTGTGGAAAAAAGGAGTAGTAATTAACACTTTGACACTCCCCCGTTGATGTGTAATTGACTGTTTCAAAGGAGCACTGGTTCATAAGCTATTGCATGCATTAAAATTACGTTTTTTATATTCCAGCTTTTTAGGACAGGGGTCAGTGACAATGCAGAAATTGCTCAATGATGCAGATTTTTTTATTAGTGCATTAAGGTTTTGACATATTGGTAATGAATAAATGTTTCCATAAAAATCTGATTATTTTTTTTTATAACTTTGATTTTGAAATGACATTTGAACACTAACTGAATGCATTTGAAGAAAGGCACGGTTTTGCTAAAACCAAGTTTAGTGCAGCCTTCTAACATGCATTATTTTGTTTAATGGAGTGTGGTATAATTCTGAGAATAATTACCTTCAGAGCTTTAAAATGCTGGTACTCTAGGTATTAAAATGATGGAAACAATGACTTTTTTGTGGATAAATTTAGCAGCAAGTTTCTGGTAGTTTGTAAATGTGTATACGAGATAAGCATGTCTTTTGTCTTTTTATTTGAACATGAGCTGTGGGAATATTTTATGCTTTTCTTTCTTAGGGGAAAATATTTTTTGTATTGTACTTATTTTTGTGTGTTGAAATGGCTTGTTATTTGCTGAAAATGTATTTAATAATTAAAAAAATGTATGCAATATAAGTTACGCATGGGGTAGCAAATGTATGTCATGCAACAGTCATGATTTATTTTGCATTGCCTTCTTGTATCTAGGTTTACTTCTGTGAATATACAGTCTGTATCTTAAATATATCTGATATTCACATTATTCTGGTGAAATCCTTAGATACCTGTGTAACTGTTTTTGAAATGCAGACTTACTTAAACTTACCTTGATTTCTCACCTCCTTTATGGTATACTCAGGACATTTTGAATGTCTTCAAGGCAGAGATTCTGAGAGATCTAGAGATGCTAGAGGCCAAGGTAGAGATTCTGAGGCAGTTCAGACCTGATTGCTAGGAACTTGGTTTACTTCTTCCAGTTATGCCTTTTAAAAACAATAGCAATTTGGTACAGAAAACAACACAATTAATTGATGAGACATTCCAGTATTCTTTAAAACACCTAGATCTATTTCCCCCAAAATAAATATTTTAAATTATGTTCCTTTTCTGGATCAGGACCAATTAAAATGTCTATGAAAGCTGTGCAGTGAAGGCTCCTACAGGTGGCATCAGTTTGTTACAATTTGTTGTTTTATTAATGCTGACAACTTAGGCCAGCAGTAGCATTATCTGTGTCAACTGGATCGCCCTAACATGTCCACATTTAATCTGGTATTATCAGCAGTCTTCTTCATAAAGTTAATCAGCATCTCATTTGCATTTGTTAATTAGGGTTAATGTGTGCTAATTGATTTTTTCGATGCTTGTAGATTTCCATTAAACCCAGTTAGGTATAGTTTCTGATGCTCCTCATTTATATGAATTATGGTGATCACATTTTTGTTGAATTGGTGCCAAACAGGGAGCCTGCATCATAATTACAGCTAATTAACACAACATGATGTCCTCTATTAATGTGCTTTCCTATTAGAGTACGGATGTTATAAATTCCAAACTTAAATATTTACTGAAGCAACGTAAGTGCTTATAACGTCATTCCAAAACAAAACCATTGCTGTTCATTTTAAAGAAACTTCCAGCAAATCTTAGTTGGTGCCTCAGAGAACTTAATTAAGAAATGCCTTAGCTCATCCATGTGTCTTAACTCTGTTTACCTAAACTTATTCAGTAAAACAGGTTCTGATGTAGATGTGCAAGGTTTGGTTTCTTGTGCTACTATTCATACTATTCATAACAGATGAACAACTTCTACTATCTGTTCATATGCTCTTGAAGATCACACTTTTGCCACCCTAGATGCCACTCAGTGTTCTTATACTCTGGTATAAAGTTATTCAGTGTCTAAGCATGTGTTTATGGGAGAAAAATGTTGTGTTGATAAACCACTACAGAGTTGTTGGGTGTTTCTTTTTTAAGCAATCAAATAAAAATGAGTGGTACTGTAGGAAGGCTTTGACATCGCCAGTTATTTTTCATTTGTTTTTGTGCTGCTATTCTTGCAAATGATGCAACTGAAAAAAAAAACTTGTATCACTTGTACTCTTTCCATCTAAATTTCTGTTACGGTGATGTTCTTCCTGGTTATCTATGCTTCTACATAGGCTTGTTACATGAACAGAATATGGCAAAAATGAGGCTACTTACTTTCATGGGGATGGCTGTAGAGAACAAAGAAATATCATTTGACACAATGCAACAGGAACTTCAGATTGGAGCTGATGATGTAGAAGCATTTGTTATTGATGGTAAGAACTGTAACAAAGCACTTTACACAATGCTAATGAACCATACCTTTTATAGTCTTCAAGGCTGGTGTTAAATATGCAGAGAAATACTTTTACATTTCTGTTCTAAGATAAATATCTGTAAAATTTTGTGTTTAAAGACATGTACAACTGCTGACACTTCTATGAGTGACTTTTCCTTTTGTTGATAGATATATTTCAGATAATTCTTTATAGAACTAATAAATTGTTTGCAGATTTGTCATCTGGTTCTGTTTGGTGTCATTAAAACAGGATGTGTTTGTAGGGGAGAGAAGTTTATAAAAACCATGCAGGATATTGCTTTAATAGATTGGCATCAAACAGTGAAGATACACGTATGACCTTCATCTTGTTACATCATTTTGCTTTTCTGCCTATTGGACAAAAAAAAGTGAAAAATATTAACTGTTTTTTTTCAAGTTGTATTGATCCAATTATAAAGAGGTTTTATGCAATTTAATACCTTAACGCTATTGTGAAAATAGTGCTCAAAACAGCATTGCTTTTTTTGCAGCTGTAAAGACAAAGATGGTATACTGCAAAATAGATCAGACACAGAGAAAAGTAGTTGTCAGGTAAGAGAATTCTTCATAGCATTTTGTGGAACTTAGTGTGTTCTAATTATTTCACTTACAGTTGTAGAATATTTTAACTAGAAGCAAGGTATTGTTCCTATCAGTTGCTGGTAGTTAAATAGTTGCTATTTATCATAATTTTATTAAAGCTCAGACTGAATGTGATTAGCTTATTTAATGAAAGAGTCCTATTTTCCAGCACATTTCATTTAATGACCTAATAGTGACAAGAATACTAATGAATGTTGTTGCTTAAATATTTGGGAAGGCTACAGATTTCTGTAGCTGATAAAGTGTAGCCCTTTGTATACAAAAAATAAAATTTCCCTATTCATGTATGAGAGCAAAGTAATGCTATCAAAGAATTGCTAGGTGAGCATGACATCTAATAATCATCTTCTAATTTTGTTTTACTTCTCTAGTCACAGCACACATCGGACCTTTGGAAAGCAGCAATGGCAGCAGTTGTATGACACTCTAAACACCTGGAAACAAAATTTGAATCAAGTGAAAAACAGTCTCCTCAGTCTCTCAGACACTTAAAAAATGACCTAGAAATGTCTTACTACAGATAATTTTTATTAAAAATTTTGACAATTTGTGAACACTTCTAAAATGTATGCAATTGGTTTATAGAAGCCAAATATTTTAAATTGAAACCAAAAAAAGGCAATAAAGCTAACAAGGGAGAGTATCTTCTGTTGATTTTATTCTATAATTAACAATATATAACATTAGCAATAGCGGTTTCTTTTGTTATTGTTATTTAAGTTAATAATATGAGGATCTTTCTTTGGCAAGAGGTGGGGGAATGAAGGGAGGGTAATCAGAAAAAAGCGTGTGTAAGTAATGTGAAATGAGAGCTTCCCTCATGCCCTAAAGGAAGAAAAACATGAATGAGTTAAAAGTGAAACTACGAAGCAATATCTGCTGCCATATATTTGAATCATACCTGATGCTTTAGTGCTGAAAGAGGTATTATTTAGACAATATTTAAATAATTCTGTAGTAGAGGTAAACAGATAATTTTCTTCATCTGCCACTTAGAGTAGTTCTAAGTTATTATAAATGTTTATAGGAGGAGCTATTATATTTTGAAACAGTTGCAGTGGATTGTTTGAAAACTGAGTGAGCAGTCTGAGAAAGAAACCAAACAATTATTTCAGTCAAAAGTTCTTCAGAAAAAGAAAGAGAGGAATGTAAAGCAATAGTTTAATATTACTTACAGGTTTATTAAAACTTTAACTTGTGAACTTTAAACTTCAGGCAAAACTTGTAACAAGTTGCATGCAGTTGACTGCAGAAACAGAACTAACTTTTAGTAGGAATTCCACCATTTTTAAACAGAAGAGGTCTATACTTTGTATTGAACATGAAAGCACAATGAATACATACCATATTCTATAGGAATACCTTTACCACTCTGGTTTATGCAAGTGATTTATCTGTGCCTAACAGACACATACATACTTGTAGCTGCTGCCACTGTTCTTTATTCTCTGTCTTCGTGTTTTCTTTTTCTTGATGAACAAAGTCTCTCCAACTGGAGGAATTTCTCAATTTCTTCTATTTGATTTTGTATGTTAGAATTATGCGTAGAACAGCTGCCTTCATCTCCAATCATTCTTTTGTTTTTTGCTGGAGATACAGTTACCTGAGAAGACTTCTGCTCATGTGAAGCAGTAAATCCTTCTTTCACCTGACAGAATAAAAATGTAGCAGTTAATAATCAAAGAAGTCAGGTACAAAGGTTCAGATTGTATGCTTAATGTTAGCAAAATTTGACAAGGAAATGTGAACAGAAAAATGAGTCAATTGCAAAAAGTTTTATTTGAAATGCATGTTTCAGCTTTAATCTTGAAGACTTAATATACTTTTTATAAACCAAAGCTTAATGTAAGTCTTAGTACAGAAGAGTCTTATTTAAAAAAGACAATCCTGCCCTAGAATGCAGACTAGCAAAATAAATAGTTCAATTAAACAGTTTAATGTTGCAATTGACATTTCCATTGCTATGCAGTCACTTGATTAACAAAACCCAAAATCATGAGGTTTATAGTGTTAACTCCCTTTCTGCTTAGCTTTACAGATTAGAAAGTGAACACTATTATTTGCAGTGAGGTCTGCAACCAGGTGGCTTTGTACGTTGAAGATCTTGTTCTCTGAATAGTTTTAGTTAGTATTTCATCAGTATTTCATATATACCCTGATCAAGCACATGACCACAGAGTAGGGAAGCAGTGCTGAGTTGACCCCTCCTACCTCAATGCTGTGTGGTTCCTTTCAGCCACCTCTCTGAGCACAAGTTCACAACAAAGCATGTTACACAGGGCCAGCACTGCAGTGGCTGCTTGGGATGTGGAAGGGGGCGTCCAATACTTTGCATGTGATTCTGTTACAGGGATGGTGAGGTGAGGCCTCCTCACTCTGCTCAGTTCTTTTTGAATATTAGGCAATCAATCGTGCCCCCATCAATTGTAAGCCACTGGTCCTTGTTTTTAGCAAACCTGCCTTTAACTTAGTACATATCTAGTTCCATTAAAGGAAAGGAAAATTAAGGCAGGAAGATGTGTAGTGGAACAGCATATCATTAGGTAAGCTAATGATTAGTAAGTTTTCCTTCCCTAGCACACAAGCATTTCTTTAAGTTTGAAACACTACCAGTAAACAATGCAAATTGTTCAGTTAACCTGTTGCACCTACAACGTTATTGCCATGCTGTTGGTTCTGATACTTGGTTCAGCAATGACTAATCCCTGTTTCAATGAGGAAGTAACATCCAACCTGTTAATTCCACTGCTGTACATGTACACTCTCCCATTCTCTTCCCCCCCAAGGCCTCAGACAGAAATAGATGATACTTCACTGCAAATCACTGGTCAAAATGCACATGGGACTGCATCTACAGCCCCTGCAGCCCCCTACACATGGAGCTGCATCTGTGCTAAACTAACTATCCAAGAGAAAATAAACCTTTAAGTCTTACACGTGTCATATTGCCAATGAAATAAAGCCATGCCATTTTACTAGGATTTTACTGAAGACACCAAACATTTAGACCTCTTTGGAGAAGTAATTGCAACTAGGTAACCTATATATATAAACCCCATTGTCACAGACTAATATTAGAAAAAAATCAATGTCAAACTAAAAATCCTCAGCGTTTTCACCATGAAATACAAGTAAATATAATGCATCTTACTGCCCATGCTGAAGAATATGGAAGGTTCTCTTTAATACCATGGCAGATGCATAAAAACTTATATTGCTGAATGGTATGGCTCCATGGTTAATGACTTGTGTGTAAACTGAGTTCAGCACTCTTGTTCATCCTTACCTTGGGGCTCGGGCCCCAATACAAGCAATTAAAGCTGTTCAAGCCCTAATACAGCAATTAAAGCTGTTCAAGCTCCACACAGAGTAGGAGAGTTTAACAGATCTAAACGCTGCAGTGTGAGCAATTGGTAGCATCACTCTGAACAAACTTGTCTAAGTGGGAAAGAACAGCTTTCTTTTTAATTATCCACTTTTACACATTTGTATAATGTCATGCTAATCAGTAAGATAACATAAAATATGGCATTACGTAATTGCTGTCGTGGAATAAACTGATAGGGTCTCATTTGTAGGTATGCATGAATTTTTAGCTGATTCTTTTAAATAAGATATTCCTACCAAGTAATAAAGGAAAAAATGTCTTTATACTTCTACATGATACTTCCCTCCCCCCCCCACCCCTTTTATTTAAACTCCTACTTTTACTACTTTAGGTGGTGATTTTTATTAAGGTACACAACGAACTACCCATTTCTTCCCCTCCCAAACAGGCTGGTTAGCATCTGTTTGATTCATATGCTGCGACTTTTTCCTGCTGCTTTCTATCAACCTTAATTGTGAAAAATGGTGCCTTGCTGCCCTTTTGATATTATTTTGGAGATTGACTCAGCCTTAAAGTATCCAGATGCGTACAGTTGTACAAATATCTGTGGAATTAGCTCACTGAGGTCTGGTCCGCAATATTTTTAATTGACTTACGTGTTCTGTGGGAAAAGAAGAATCATAAAAAGTCTTTGCTGTAGCATTCCATTCCTCACTAGGGTCTCCCTGGGGGTCTCGGTGGATATTAGAGGTACTCAAAGTGTCGGCAGCTCTGTTAGAACTGATAGAACCTGATTGACAAAAAGGAAATGGTAACAACTGCAATTTAGTCTCTAGGCACTAATTGTAAAGCAACTAAATTTCTGGTTTACCTCTGATCTTAAAAAAAGACATACCACTCAAGTATTTTTTGTCTTAATTCACCAAACCTCTGTTGCAGGCTTTTACTTTTTATTTTTTTTTAATTTCACTTACTCGTGTGTGTATGTATACTTAATATTCTAACTGAAGATGCCTTTTCTCAAACAGCACATCTATAAAGACCCCCACTTTCTGATGATGATAATGAGATACATAATTACTGCCATCCCGACATCATATTACAGGATGACTTGAAATAAAGACATTCTAAATGCAAAGGTGTTCAGACAGACACAAAACATCTTTTAGATAAGGAGTCTTCTAGTAAATAGATACACCTGATTTCATGAAATCAGGCTATAGTTATCTACTAAAGGTAAAAAGGACAGATCAGTAGATGAAACGTAGCAGAGCATAAGGCTCCAGTCCTGCGGAGGCTTTATGTACTACCAGCAGGTTCTGTTGAAACCACCATCAAACTACCTGCAGGATGAAAACATACACGTACCAAAATCACTCATAATGCAAACAGGAGCTGTTTTGTCACTACACAGATGCCCATCAATTACTGGCATAATAGTAAAATCATTACTTAGCTATAAAAATATATTTTACCTCAAGCCTGTGCAATATAATTGATTAAGAACAGATTTTTTTTTTTTTTTTTTTTTCTTTTTTAGCAGGGGGAGGATTAACAGGAGCAGAAGCAGGTGGGAAGAGAGAAAAAGGGGTTGGGATTTGTGTTTGATTTCTTTTTCAGTGTCTTCCCAGGAAGATTCTGACCATTCCCTATTCATTTCTCTACTCAGTACGGCATAGCTGCTCCCTGCAATCAGAACTGTTGTATAAATAGCAGATTTTACATTTTGGTTAGGCCATGGAAGGAATTCCCTCTGACAGACTTACAGAATTCCAATGCTCTTCTCATCTGGGAAAATATTTTGAAAAAATACACAACATATATTGGAAATTGCAGTGCCAAGTGTAGCACAACGATTAATTCTTAGGTGCCCTGTCAGTAAGATTTTCTACTCTCCAAGAGGCGCAGGATTCAGAGAGGCCAGCAAGCAGAAGTAGGGACCTATATAAATTAGGCAGTATGATGAGAGGGAGAGGCAGATCTGGAACACAGCCCAAGATCCTCAGCTGGGAAGTTTTGCCAGAATTAAAGAGGTCTGGTGACTGTACTGGTCACTAGGCAACTCATTTGTGGTGTTAGAGTCATATTCAAATCCCTGCTGGCTCCTTTGGATGAACTTGTCAGACTCACTTCTTAGAATTACTCTACTTTGCATACAAAAAGGTGTCTGGCAAGAAAAGAAGAAACGACGCATGGAAGAACTTCAAATAGTGCAATCCTTTCTTCCAGAGAAGATCCAGAAAGAATGTTACAGCTGTGCATTTATTTTCTTGAAGCTGCTACTGAAATTCATGTTAATAAAATAATAATGTGCCATCTGAGATCAGGATTCTGCTACCTTGCTACTTTCATTTTAGTGACAGAGGCTCATCTGAAACTGAGCTTCAAATAATCGTGTGTATAGAAATAAACACATGCAAGAGACCAACTACAGAAACAAAATCACCTATAAACTTCAAATCATAATACGTGAACAATATTAGGAAACCAAACTGATGGGTTTCCATCTCACTGCCACTGGCTGCAAAACCAAGGGGTTGGGTTCCATTCTGTTCACACGCTGAAGGGGCGAAGTACAAAACACTACATCAGCAAAACCTGAAATAGATACAAACACCCTACACTGCAGGCCTAGCTCTTTTGGAAAACATCTAAACAACCAAAATGCCATTTTTCAACAAAAGTAGGGCTTTAATTTGTTCCAGAGGATAACAGATTGTCTGTTTTTTTAAGCTTACAGCATATACGTGTTCAGAATAGAATCCTCGTATAAGCTTAATTTTGAGAAAGGAAGGCAGTGCTTAAAATACCTTTTACTCTGTCCAGTTACTGAAGTAGAGGAATATCTACTAACATTTTGAAGTCATTTTACTGTGGATACAGAAATGTTTTTATTGCTTTGGTAAGAGACTGACAAAATTACTTTTGGTAAGAGACTGTATTTATTTACTAAAAATGGCATTTTTAGTAAATAATAAAATAAAAATGGCATTTTTAGTAAATAAATACAGGAGTAATAGCAACTAATCTTATTGCAAAACAAATCTAAAATATAGTTCTTCCTGCATTTTAGTAATGATGTATAAATGTGGAATAAAATGTTTATTTTTATGAAGGCAAAATATTGCTCAGCAAGTAATCACCAAGTGTCAACAACAAAAGATGAAAAACCTCATCGAGAACTCCTAACAGCCTAGTGTGATTTACAAAGCTTCAGAGAATAATCTTTCACACATTCAGATGGTTCTGAGTGTCCATCTGAACTGAAGATGCACAATAAAGTATATAAATACACACCACATTAGGGTTACAAATGCCTATAAAATTCCATTCCAAAATTCCATTACACTGCTTTTCTTTCACGAAGGGAAATAGGAGAAAAAGTTGATTTAATCAATTGATTTAAATTGATTAAATAAAAAAAGCTACTTAGCTGCATTTATACTATTAGATTTCCAGGTTATCTTTCATCAATCATTTTTGTGTGTGTGTGTGTGTGTGTGTGTGTGTGTGTGTGTGTTTGTTTTTTTTTTGTGTGTGTTTTTTTTTGCCACAAAAATGACAACATGTTTTCTAATGCTACACTACTTAAATGCAGGAAAAAAAAAAACACATTTTGGTTATTTTATTTTTTTTTTTAATCTAGTCAATACATACTTCAAAGCATACTTTTTTCTTACCTAGTCCTTTTTCTCCCTTGGCAACATTTTCATCGGGACTTTGACATTGTGCTTTTGAAATAACCTTTCTGTTTTCCACTAGGCATGGTAGTTTCTCTTTCAAAATGGGAGGTTCTTTGGCAGCTGAAGTCCATGTAACTTGACTTCTCATTTGATTTACTCTTGAACAAGAACCAAGGTCTAAAAAACTGAAGTATACTGGAGTTTTCTCAGCTTTTTTATCTGAAGTTGAAAGATCAAAGGATGACCTTCCACTTACATTTACTAAATTTCCAGATGTTCTCATGGGTAAAGAGCATGATTCTTTCAGGTGACCCTCAGCAAACTTCCTTCCTGGAACTGTACTGTGCAGTGATCCTTTTTTCTCTTTTAACAACGTATTATTTATTGAATTATCATTAATCTCCAGGGAATGTCCCATTTTTGATGAACTGTGTCTGAATATCATCATTAAGTTTTTCACATAGAAAAAATTTTTCTGTACTAATTCCATCTGTTGGGACTTTATGAACAGTTATTTCAAGATCAGCAGCCTTTACTGGAGATACAGCTTCAGCATTCAGCAGTGCATGTATTTGTATCACCTCCTGATTGCTCAGTACTGCCTTGTTCAGTTTGTTTGCTGCTGCATATCATCCACATTTATTCCTCTGTCTACTTTTTCAGGGCATAAATTTGAAGTACCTGTAACAGGCATATTACTACTGTGTTCTTTTGCAGCAGCACTGGCACTTGCATTGTTACAACAAACAGAGGGTGTATTTTGAGCATCAGTAGCTGGAAACCCAGTACTCCTTGGTGCACTATTTCTGTTCATGTTTCTGTCTTTGTCATTGTAATTTCTTTCTTCAGCATCTACATCTGTCTGTTTAAAAGGAAACTTATTTCTGTGTAAACCACTCAGCTTTAACAAGATTTTTTCTGTTCTATGTAATCTGTTACCTACATAATTATCACTGTCCAGCAAGCTACATTTCTGGGATTCTGTCTGAGAGTTCTCCTTAGCATACGGAAGGATGCCAAAATTGAATTCTTTCACTTGATGATTATCGGTCGTTCGCTCACACACAACATTCTTCTCAGTGCAGAAAACTGCTTCAGACTCTTTTTCAGATGCTTCAGACATAAGGACACTGTTGTGCTCTATAGTATTTGATTGTTTGTCTGCCTCAGTACAAATTGATTCATGTGTAGTATTACACAATTCTTGCTTACTAGAATGGGTGTCTTGACTCGCATTTTTCTCATAGAAAACTGTGTCAGTGCTGTCTAAAAATACCTTCCTTGTTTCTGTGTGGCATGCGGCCACTGGATCAGTGCTGTCCTGTAGCTTTTGTTCTAAATTCGCATTGCTTTCCTCCAGTAGCATTCTATGTGTAGTTCCTAGATTTTCTGCTTCTTTGCACTCAGCGACATGTATTTCAGAGGTCTGTCCTTGGGTAATTAAATCAGTATCTGTGCAGAGGGTATTCCTGGGAGAAACCTCCCTTTGCTTTTCTTCATAATGGCTAGCAACATTAATTTCATCCTTAAAACTGTTTTCAGGAACTTGTAAATCTGTTAAAGTGTATTCTCTAGTTAGCAATAGATGATGAAGAGGTTAAATAAAGCAATGTTTTCACAGTTTAAAGCTTCCAAATATAGTTTCAAGGTTAGTATCAATACAGATTTTTCTTACATTAGAGCAATATTTCAATACACATACAAATAAAGCAAACAATTGCTGAAGACAAATATTATTGTAATTTATAAAATATTTATAGCCTGTTCAAATAGAAAATATATTAACATTCCGTACAGTTTAGTCATGGATTATATTGAATATATATTGAAATATTTCCCAATTGGTATTTGCCAGCCTTATTGAAAGGGTGTTATATGAAACTATAACACGCTTAATCAACTCATGTTTGTCTAACAAAGTTTGTCAGTGGTCTACTACTGTGACTATTTGTCTTTGGTTTTTGGAAATGGCATTTCTAGCTAATAAAAAACAAAACAGAAGCCAAACCCAATTAAGCAACTATGTTCGTACCAAAAGCAATCTGCTACAACTTGACTGGCAGTGAGCCAGTGAGGAATAACTAAAGCATTTCAACATCAGAAAGGTGTTTTCTGAAAAATACAGCTTGGATGCTATGAGCACTGATCCTTTAAAGCAATGATTTTACAGTCAATAATCTTTTAAATTTCCACTTACCTTTGTTACAATTTTAGAAACTAAGCATTAAAGACTTAAGTACATTTTCTTTAGGCTTCAAAAAAATTACTTAGTGGAGTTATAAAGTACTTTGGGTAGGAAAGTATTATGTGTTTATCACATATTCCCCAGGAACAGACTTCCACTTTCATGTGCAGGGCAAGCAGTCTTGTGCCCATTTTCATTGTTTTATGGGAAAGGGAAGTTCTTCCTTGTTTTTGCTTTCGTACACTTCTAAATACATAATTCATCTTAACCCTTACTCACTTCTGAACTGGCATACAGGAGAAGGTATTGCAACAGCTTGAGGAGTGACAATACACAGATCTAACTTTATGTCCCAGGGCAGCCATCAGAAGTACTGTATTTTCATTCAGAGCCTTGTGAGTTTATCACAGATCAGCATTACTGACACCAAGAATTTTACTGTTGTTAGTAGAAAAAATATTTGATTCAGGACTCGAGCATTCTCTTATCACATACTGTAATGTAAATAGTTATCCTTTTATCAACAATATTACTTATCTCTACTATCCGGGTAATCTTATTACTTTGCTCTATCTGTAATTCCTCAGTGCTTAAGGAGTTTTTTACTTCAATTTCATCTTCATGTCCAAGAATACTGTCTTTTCTTAGTATAGATTGCATACTCTCGTTTTCATTCTGAATAGTCTGCATTTCACTGTATTTTGATGGTTCTTGACCACTCTAGCACAAGGGGGAAAAAAATTACAAATAGTTTAATAAACCACTAGAGTCTCTGATTAAATTTAAATTCAAGACCTGAATTAGTCTTCACTATTCTGATGAAAGCCAAAGACCATTCTCCTGAAATACACCAAGTTAATGTAAATGGGAAGGAAAAAAAAAAAGCAGGTCAGCACCCTAGAAGTGCAGGAAAGAAATTAGGCCCTGCTATGTTACAGCCCACAGGAAAAAAAAAAAAAAAAAAAAAAAAAAAGTACACTGATTGACAGAGTTTTTCAGAGGAAGGAAGATATTTTCAACATCTTCTGACTGGATTACTCCCTCTGTCTGCAGGCTAGATCAGTGACCTGCTCAGTAATTACATGTGGAAAAAACCTGCATAATTGCTAATTACATTCAAACACATGCATACACACATTAACACTTTTTTCTTCTTCTAACAAACCACCTGGGATTTTTAACTGTTTCAGAGGCAAATATGTCTTATGAATTTTCACTTGATTAAACTGCTCATTCCTCATTCCCTCCCAGCTGGATTATGAACCTGAACAATCAAACTCAACAGGAGTAGAAGCCTGAGAGATGTTAAATTCCATAAAGTTCTGCGACAACTGGAAGCTGAACTGAAGAAACACCCTAAACAAAAAAAAAACAATCCTTCCACTTGCCTAGCCCTCCTTCCTCCCTCCCTCCACACACACACACACAAAAAAAAAAAAAAAAAAAAAAAGGGAAAAGACAAGGCATCATTTATCTTTTCTGTTCTTGACAGCTGAATGCAGGAGCACATGCTGGCTCAGATAAAAGTAGGTAGCTGTGGGAGGGAGCAGGGGCACTGCTTAGTCCATAAAAGACAAGAGAAGAAGCTGAAGATACTTGGGTGGCTGGAGGTGTTGCAGAAGGAAGGCTGGGATGTGGGAGGGAGTTACAAGCGCTATGCTTTGCATCAGATCTCTGGGGAGGACAAAGTGTATTGTAAAATGTGGGGAGGTGCATAGGCAGTGGTGAAAAATAGGATTATTGCAGCGGTGTGGTAGTAGATGATGTACAATACAAATCTGAAGGAAACGATTTTCTACAGGTCGCAGAAACATCCTGACGCTCCCAGCTTTGCTGATTTGGGGAAGGGAGGAGTCATGGCAAATGGAGAGGAACTGAAATCAAATTTCTTTGCAAAATATTCCACCTTCAACTTGTCTGATTTTTTTCCTCTTTTTGGGTGGGGGTGGGGTAAATCATCTCCCCTGTAAAGACTAACTTGAAATCATAAATATTAAATCTTTTTTGTTTTTTTAATCTTTTAATTAGCTGATTCTACTTCTTGGTTACATGCAGCCTTGGCATCACATTTTAAAGCTTTTCTTTTCAAATACAAATACTAGAAACTTACTTTTTCTTTCATAAAAGCTATAATCCCTTCATACCCTCCTGCTTCTAAGAGCTGTTTCTTTAGACAGAAACAAAAAACGACCCCACATAACTTCATTTTGTACAGGTATAGAAATTACTGCAATAGAACCTACCCCATTTGTTGGTATGGGCTGAGCTGTTGAATGGATCTGAAACAAACCTGATAAAACGTTCTTAGAAAGGGAGAAAAACTGCATGATTCCTCTCTAGATTTTCTGAAAGGCTGACTACACCTAGTTTCCGTGAACTTCAAACACCTGTTCATCCTTTCAAAAATAATGTGTAAGATGCCTAAACTACGAAGCCTAAATATCGGAACTTCCAAATCTGGATTTTATTTCTCTCCCCCTGTAAGTTAGTAAAATACATCTACACAACATACATCTAACCTAAGATGACCTTTCCCTCGACAACATATTTCGTGGTATGAAATTCAAAGTTTTCTCAAATCCAGATCTCCCAGTATGTATTGCAAGCACAATAATATAAATAGCCTGCTGCTCAGTGTAGTCCTGTTCTATAGTGGTACACAACTGCATTACAAGTTAAATATAACTTTACCATGCTTCACATTTAGTTTAACTAAATTGCAATGCATAAGCCAACATGGGTGTAATTATTCAGGTATGAATTTGTCTCTGAAATGAGGTCTGACTTCGTAGTTTTCTTTAAAAGAAGGTTTTTGCTTAATTCCTGTTCCACAGGTGATTTGTATTAAGTTTACATACATGCTAAATTTCATGCCCCGCAAATAATCACAGGGACTTCAGATGGTACTAGGTGTAAAAACAAATACAGTTTTTATTTTCTTGCAATGCTTCCTTCATCTAAACCATAGCCAACACTATCTAAACATAGCCGACAATGCTGCCCTTTTATGTTATACGAGGCACTACCTCATTACTAATACAAAATGAAATACTACCAATTAGAATGATCAATACAATCTGCTGCATATCCTCTAATTTCTCGACAGTGTTCCACTGTGGATTTTACTCCACCTAACCCGTCAAGCTTTTGAAATCTTACAATTTTACCACACAAAGCGGTATGGCAATTCGCTGTAAGATAGGTAAAGATACATATTTAGATGACAGCTCCGTTTGTTTTCACCATTTTTAAGCACGTGCTTCAGGCTTATCGACCTTAAAACACATGGGATTTTCTCAGTAAGCACAAGTACATTTTCTCATAAATGGCTGACAGCATGCTTTGTTTCTGCATCTTAAAAATATTTTTTTTTCTTTGAATTAAAATGAAATACAAGATTTTTCAAAGTTACACAACTCCTCCCTGTAATTCTACATTATACCTTGTAGAATTCATACAGCTATTGCATGATGAGTACTCATGTCAAGTCTAATTTCCATTGCATTATTAAGCACACACCAGATGTGTGTATGTTTACGTGTATATGTATGGATGTGTGCTATAAACATAGCATGCATGTATCATGAAGAAATTCTTTTGTTCTTCTAAATCCTTTTTTTTTTTTTTTTTGGTTGTTTTTTCACTGTCAATTCACAGCCTAGTTCTGAAAAAACATCAATAAGTTTCTACCCAGTGTCTTCCTAACACTAAAAGCAAAAATCAGAGAGATTCAAAATGAGTTTTCCCTTCTGTGAAGGATGAACCATTATCTGAATGTAAAAATGAATGGAAAAGAGATATAGTCAATGCTCAACCGAACAACAGGTTATACTCAACACAGAAGAATAGCTTCTTATGACTATTTTTTTCAGTCATATGAAAGACTGGAATATAAGTTTGCAATCCAGTTCCAGTAGGTAACACATAGCTATAGTGCTAAGTGTTTATCCTTTTGCTCCAACAGACCATCTTCATGAACCTTATCACTTGCTGACTTCTCATACATGCCCTGAATATAGAACTGAATGTAGACGTGGCTCACGCAGCAACACAAGCTCAATTTATTTCAAGCTGCACTGCGTAAACCAGCCATCTACCTCCTGCATTCATAACTTGTACAGCTTACTATGCCTTTGATTCTTAAACAGAAGCAGCAAAATAAAGGCTGTTCAGTTTGTTTGAACTAACATTAAAGGCCTTAGATTATCTATTTGCTGATAAGGTGAAAATTCTGATCTGTCCCATGTTACGTAGGCTCAAATTTGTTCCTCTGAGTAGAAGCTGATTTGAACTTCCACAATTACAGGGAACTTGCATGCATGTAAAGGGTCAGTGCATCTGCACATAGCATTTGAGAAGCACCTATGCAAAATACATATGTGAAATGTGATTTAGGAAAGATGCATTACACTATTTAAGATAATTGCTATATATCTAATAAAATAATGAACATCCCAAGTTTCTATGGTAAAAGTGCCCTCTAGAAGAAAGGGAAACTTTCTCTGGGTACAGTAAATTTTAATGGGGTCTTGGATCATTGACTACATCAGAGAAATTTCTAGGCTTAAGTAATGTCAAGGGAAGATCAGCGGACATAAGAGCCAGACTAGAAAAACTGCCATGTCTCTCATTCTCTAAGGTTAATTTATTTATTTTTAGGAAGAAATGCAAAGTACTGCAGCAGTTAGATACACTTACCTGCGGACTTTCCACTTGCTCAGCATACTGGTTTCCCAGAGGAGGAGGATAATCTTCAAGACGTCCTTGAGCCCCCTTAAGGGAATTCAGCTCATTTTTTATAGTGGCTATCTCTCTTCTCATATTTTCCTCCTATAACAAAGCAGAAAACACACATGCATAGATCTTTTCTGCATGTTCAAATATGAAAAATGGCATGTTACAGCAATATCAACAACTTAGAAGAATGTATAGATGCTGAGGAATGCACAAAATAAGACAATTTTGAAACTTTTCATTCACACCAAGATTTTAATCATATTATCATCTTATATATATATATATATATATATATAATTTGGGCTTTGTTCATTTACTTCAGGTTGTAACGCTCAAAAAGGTAAGAATTTCTATTTATAGCTTTTTTTTCTGCTCAAAGATAAACATGCTAGTAAGTATTCGTTCTCTATCTACATTTTCAAGGAACTATAATAAGTAATTTGCGCAGAACTACTTCTGTAAATAGCCTCAAGTAACCAATGCTTCTTCAGTTAGTGTATAACAATCACATTTTTCTACTTAGAACAAGAAGTATGGTCAAAAAGACAGTCTGTAAAGGAAAAAAAAAAAAAAAAGGCAACTTTACAGAAATACCTTCATTTCATTAGCAAATATTTTCAGAAGAGCGTGTAATGTTAATGTTATCCATCATGATGCTAGGCTTTACGAAATTAAAAGTCCAAATTTCTAGTTAGTCACAGTAAAAAGATTTGGGGTGCGGAGGTATCTTCTAAAGAGAATATAGAAACTTTTCTGAGAAATAAACAGGGCCAATTTCCATGTCTATACAAGAACCTAGGGTATAAGCCTCTGCAAGAAATTAGTAAGATGGAATCTTTTCTCCTCAGAGTAGCGAGCATCAGAACAGTGCAGGTATTTTGTAGTCTCAAGCCCATAGTCATGTCCATAGTGGTTGCGCTCAAGGAATTAGGACAACAGGCCTAAGATTTCCCCACAGCCTCGCTGATACAATCAGTCCACCAATTTCAAATCCTTTCTGGCAATAGATGCCAAGTATGTAGAAGACAAAAGAGGCCATTAAACACATGCTGATAGAATCTAATTTCCACACACAAAGCAGACCGTGTCTTATTGAAGAAGTATTACTCACTTGTGCACGTACATTTATTATTGCACACCATTTTTACAGCTAAAATACCTCATTCTTAAATAGTTAGCAATTACTGAAGTATTTAAAAATAATGAAAGCATAGAAAAGATGCCAAATGTTGAAGACAAACTATTGTTTAGGTGTATGCAGAGGTGAATTCGCTGAGAGAATATACAGGGTTTTACCCTTTTTAATCTCCTTTCACTCCACAGTCCTTGTTAAATAATTCCTTTCAAATGAGGACCCCCCACTTCAATGCAAGCCTTCAGCGTCTCTACCCGATTCAGTTGGAGATTGCATTTTGCCCACTCCCCAAGTCTCTGGGCATACAGTCCTTCAGAATTACCTTCAGTATGTGCCACTTTAATCAACCTATGTTGTTGTTTTTTGTTTGTTTTCCCTCCTTTCCTCACCAGAGGATATAACAGTTTACCACCAATAGTTTTTTTCAGGGTACAAGAGTGTACCTAGAATACCAGCCTAGAAGTGCTGGTACTCTCTGAATGAACTGTGTATAAAATTATTCTGAAAAATATACAAAATTCAATCCATGTAAGTCATAACAGCTTCTGTGTCTAGGTAATAGTAATTGTGTAATTCTGGAATATTTTTAATTCAGGACAACAAATAATACCCTGGGACTCTTGCTTTATAGAACTTCGCTGCACTTTCATAGCACAGAAAGCACCATTTCTCCTAAATATTAATTTCTAGATGAGTCTGCATTATTAGAAAAGGAATTGTTTTATTTATTTATTTATTTATTTTTTATTGTAGTATTTCTACAATATTTTCTTGGCTTTTAGGAATTACCTGAAATGCTTGATGGCTACTTCAAAAATCTTTTAATACTATAACATTTAATTTAATAAACCTACATCTTTTTTCCAAGTTCTCAGTGCTTTCTCATGCTCATTCTGAAGATTAAGGAACTTTTCTTCATTTTCCTTTGCCTTCTCCCTTTGCAGCTCATTATCTCTTTCAAGGGTCTGCAATAAAATTAATTATCCAAAAAATAATCAATACCACATTAATGAATTTTGATGTGTTTTATGTTGCTTGGACCTTTGCTTCTAACATGCTGAAAGTGCCATACAGATCAGTGATAATGTGCTATCTCAACAATAATTTTCATAAATTAACAGAAAGGTGCTTATAGTTTAGCTAACAGGAAACAGGGGGAGGTTATGAAAAAAGAAATGGCTATAAAAGGGTATAAAAACACTTGCCATTATTCAGTTTCACTGCATAAGTTTTAATGTGCTGAAAAAGTAATATAAAGTCCAGAGATGAGAAATGTGAAATGTAGCACAATCTAGACCTTAAAGAAAGTACTTAGGGAAAAAACTACTGTATAGCCAAAGACAATATTTTTCTGATCACTTTTTCTTCCTAATTTGTTTATTAACCTAGCCTACAAATGGTGTAAGCTTCAAACTCTAGAACAGCTATATAATAAACACTTCATGTTCCAATATCTGATTATCCTTTAATTTATATTACGTCACTGAAACAGAATAAGTGTGTGTTAAAATAACAATAATATAAAGTTTTTATACCATCTTAATTGTACTCACAATATTTTTTGTTTAAATGTTTCAGCTTTACTGTGCCAAATTAAAGCACTTGTGTAAATCAACAGTAACTTCTGACACACCTCAGGTATTGTTGGAATTTTTATCCTACTACACTTTTATAGCAAACAATATGAAAGATAAAGGACTTACTGCATCCATTACCTACTATTTAGATGACTGCATATATTTGATAATGTAAACATTACTGTATGTAGCTATATGACCAGCTATATATTTATGACTCTGCTGAGCTTTTTTGAAAGTCCACATGAAAAATGTTAAGATATGAGGGCATTACTCTAAAGCAATTCCTTTTTACTTAACCTTTCAACTGAAAGTGGGTCTACTTCTTGATTCACTTGCCAACAATTTAAAAATGCTTATTTGAATTAATCTATTCTATTAATATAAACATATTTTACAGGTATAACACTAGGAAAATGCAGACTACCTTGCATTTTTATACACAAGGAAAACGACTGTTCATAATAATGTAATGAATTTTCTCCAACAGATTATGTAATTAAAAGGGTGAGACAATTCAACAATACATTGTCTGTATAATCGCACACAGATGTAGCACCTTTCATACAGTTCTACAAACCGGGAGTCTAAGATCTCCTTTCTTTGATGAACCTCCTCTACTTCTCTAAATAAAGGATTCTTTAATCCTTCAAGATAAATGTGGCTCAAATTCAACCTCCTCTGAGGTGGAATGCAATGGTTCTTCACAGCATAGTTCTTACAACAAAACAAGTAGTAAATTAAAGTACCTGACTGAAAAAAAAAGAAGAGTTGCTGCCTCACCTAAACTTTCCTTGAAAATCTCCACTGACAAAGCAAACCTTAGCTTTGCCCAGTTTAACATAAGAACTCACTAAGATACCTACCCAATATTGGGCCCTCTCAGTTAACCCTATCCTACTGAAACATTTTTGAAATAACAATAGTTTCAAAATAAACCGTCCAAAATACTTTATTATAATCATCACAGACGTAATTAGAAGCAGTATGGACATCAGAATAACACCTGTAGGTGTAGGGTTAACATTAACTAACTGTAAACACTTAAAATCCTGAACACCCTTAGTAGAATATCAACAGATAAAATGTATCTTCCGAAAATAAACATAGCATCCTCATCATCTCTATAATACAGTGTTGTTACAGCACTGAAGTTTGAAATTTATGGAGACAGGTGTGCAGTACAAAATAAAGCCAAATCCATTATAAGCACATCAATCAATCAATATAATAAGAATATTCTTGCTTTGGAGACCAAGAAGGGGAAATTTCCTGATTTGGAGGGATACCGAGTGAAAGTATTCAGTAGTGAGAATGCTAAGTAATCCTGAAAAAATGAGATGTCGGAATGACTGGTGGATGGATCCTTACTGCACATACACATTGCCCCAGCACTTTTGCAAAGCCGAACTTGCCTATGCCAAAGTCAGCAAGATCATCTTAGTTAAATCCTCACTGGGTTTACATGTGACTTGTGGAATTAGTGGAACTGAAATTTACGTATGTATCAGTCCTTTGATTCAAGAACATGTATCATCAAAAGACCTTCACACCACCCCTTCCTAGACAAGCTCTGCTTTCTGTTTGGTTGCAAAGAAGACTAACAGAAGCAAGCCCATCCCTAGTAGGTACATTTCCTTTGATAATACGTTACACAAATAGATAGAACAGTTGTTTCTGTGTTGAGATAGTTTGCAGTGTAAGCTTTCTTCTTCCATTTGATCAAATAATCTATTATTTAGATAGGAAGAAATATCAGTTGCCTATTTATTCCAGACTATATAAAGAAGAAATCTTGGGAGTAGCTGATGAATAGAATAATATATGTTAAAGACAATTGCATAGAGGAGAATACCCAAATTTGTTGCATTCTCATATATAGTCATTCACTAAGAAACTTTAGCTTGCTTTTCTGCACTATTAGATACTCTTGTATCCTAGCACTGTGTATCCACAGATAAATGAGAAAGGCCAATATGACCTTACTTGCATGTTATTTTGCAAGTATTCAGTCATCTCAAGCCCAAAAACTAAGTAGAATTATTTTTGTGAGTAAAAGAAAAAAATATTTCCATAGTACTGTACAATGACTCCAAGATTCATAAACGTGACAGGAATGTAGGATATAGCATAGGAATAAAATGTGATCTGCACAACCTACTCATCATATTAAGATTCTAGAATCAGTAAAAACAAAAGCAATAGCTCTCAAATCAACAGTAAAGTGGGTAGAGCATTCAAATAGTAAGCTCCTTATAAATAAGTTCCATTTCTTGCTTTAAAAATGCCAAGGCAAAATAAGCAGCTAACATCCTGGTAATTGTCTCAAACTGTCAGCAAAACCAGTAGCTGTAAAAAGCAACAATATTTTATGGTGACCAATTAAATAGAGACAGATATTTTTTTGACAAATCAAAATAATTGCCAAAGTTCATCTGGAAAGAACCAGAACACATAAGATTCACTTGAGATTCCTCAAGGGCCCCCCTATTATGAAAATCATCATTGGTAAGGTTACAAACCAGTTATCTCAAGCCTCTGCTTTTCTTTGCAAATTCATTTTAATCAACTTAAAATAAAATGCACATTACCTTCTCACTAACAAAAAAAGTGTCATATGAATAGCAACTAACCCAGATATTTCACTGTTTTTGCTGATAAGCCAACATGTAAACAACAGTTTACTAAAAAGCATGCTACTTTTAACAGTTCCTTGCCTGTAGAATTGCCTCAATTGATCGTGGTCAAAAGTTTAAAGTGTGCCAAGAAACTAACCTAACACTAACCTTTCAGTAACCTTAAACTCTGCCTTGTCACGTTTAAACCTTTTAGTAAAGCAAATTATATGAAAAATGAATTGGAGAATGCTGAAGATTCATGATGAACTAGCGGGACTATTCTCCGGGCTGAGAAACATCTCTTCTTGGCTCTAGAGCAGTCAGATCAACGAATTTGAAGTCATGAAAAGCCAACACTCTGGACTAAATGCAGGAACCTAGACTCATCTATAAATTTACTTGTTCAGTCAAAATGCAAAGTTCACATACTTAATTGTGGCAGAAGGCAAACTGCTTACACCTATAAAAAGACAAGTTTAAGACTTACGTGAAGCAAATTAATTTCAATTTAGTGTTAGAAGCATTTACTTAGAAACAAAAGTATATATGCACATAGAAAGCTTAATTTGAAACTGAGATGCTAGTTCAAAACCTTTGCCTTAAAGGTGAAGCAAAGAATAGAATGGTTGCAATTGTATAAATTATAATAAATACAGTGGATAATTATTAATCATCCCATTAATAGTTGTAGCTGAACTCTGCATAGAATATCTGAAGAAAAAAGATAATGACCTTAATCTTCAGTGCCAGTCTGACTGGTAGTATAATTTAAAATCCAAGCTGTTAATTTTCTTTATTTTATTTACAATCTCAAAGAAGAACACTGCAATCCCATGATTACTTAACACCCTTCGCATAAATATGACAGACAACACAGTAAAAAATGACTAGGGAATATTCTTGGTTAGGCTCTTTGCTCTAACAAAATTGAGGACAAGCAATGGCTCTGAAGTCCTGAAATTTGAAGTACTTTTCGGGAACAAGAAATTTATACCTATATACAAATGAATTAAAAGAATCAAGTCATAAAATCATTTGATTTCAAAATACTTGAAAGCAACCATAGAAACATTCTGCTTTTACCCTCCAGAAACAGTTGATTGGAGTGGCAACCATGATTTACTTTAGGGGGAGAACTCAAAGAGGGAAACCATAAGACTGCATTTCAAGGTTCATGCTGACAGTTAAGGAGCTGAGGGAGCAATGGAAGTGAGGTCAAAAGTTCTGAAAAGCACACAGATGTCTTTAACAGCCCTAGACTTAAAAAATACATAACAGATAGTAGCAGCTTGTCTAATCAAGAAAAATCTGACCTGATATTCTTCTTTCAGTGCATTTAATTCACTTTCCATTCTAATATTCGTTTGGGTTATTCGCTGAAGCAGCTCCTGCACACGTTGTAGAGAGCTGAGAATTTCCTTGTTAATACAAACAAATCAGGATATATTGAATTACATTTTGTTTCTGAAGTTTAAACATTAGTTAATTTATGTCTGACACTCAGCATTTATTTTTTTTTCTGTCAGTGGTATACAAAATAATGTATGTTAGAATGTATTTCCTATTACAACCAACATCAACATTTGGGAAGGGCTTGTAGGAAGAACCAGACCTCCTCTAGGCTCTTTCAGGCTTTTTCCTGGTAGACTATAATAGACTATTCTTTATCAGAGATTTTTTCTTATAATTAAAATGAACAATTCACTGATATTTTTAAAATAATTCGGTGCAAATCAGAACAATGTGCATCAAATCTTACCCCTCTGTGAGTTCAATTAATCTAGCAGAATAATTTTATGGTACCATATTACAGTTCTGGAAAATAATGGAAAATCCAGAGAAATTATGAAAGACAAGTAATCACTAGCATTAATGGATCACCATTACGTGACATTATTCTGAATCTCAAATTAAATCCTAATAGATTGGAACTAACACACATTAGCTTTGCACCATATAATGCCATGATGCATATGCATCAAATTTTGCTGTCACAATCTGATTTTTTGACATACCTTCATCAATTGTTTTATAATGGGTAAACTTTTTAGAATTAACAACTAATCTGATACTTTTTTTTTTTTTTCCCCTTTTGGGAAACTTCAGGGCCAAATTCTCAGCTCCATATTTATTGGCCTCAGTGATTCCAACAAGACTCTTCTGGTCATTATAACACGGGGTTCTTTGTCTGTCTGTAACCCATTAAGCATTCACTACTCTGAAGGAATAATAATCTCAGTTTAAATTCCATGTGAGATGATACTACTCAAGCTTTGCACTGAGTTGTACTAATGAACACTACAGTCTTGACATGCAATTAACACTTTCTTTCAGTGTTCAGACTAAACCGAAGAATCATTACAAGTAATGTGTCATGGTTCTGTTATTTCTGTTACAAACATGGACTTGCAATTATTCCTTCTGTATTTTAAACCTAGATGTCAAAAGTGAAAGACTAGCTTGTTAATTCATTGCGGTAACTTAATTTCAAATGGACTAAGTTGGTCAAATACAAAGTTGGGGTATTAAAATTTCAGCTGTCCTGCAGGAAAAGATCTTTTTTTTTTTTTTTTTTTTTTAAAAGAAGGACACTGTTCATGACAAAAACCTTTGAGTTAAACAGAACAGATATGACTAAATGACTATAGACAAAATTGCTACTTCAAGAAGAGTAAATTGTAAGAAAAAAGCCATCCAATGAGTTAAGGTGGTGTAGATTTACAATCCATTGGTGCTACCATTCACTATGCTGCAGATGAAAATATGGATGGAATGGAGACAGTTAAAGTCATTAAGACTGAGTACATCTCTTGTTGTTTTCTATGTTTATTGTCAAGTATTTTTAAAAAAGTGAATTCAAAATGCAAACAAACTTTTAAAAATTGTAAGAGTACTGCTGGATTATCCTTTGATGAGTGCTCAGTGAGTATACAAGCAAGCTACTGCTTTTGTCCTTGCCTCAGAACAAGGTTAAAATTTCTCCAATGTGTTCACTTAATGAGCTGCAGAATGAGAATTCTGTAACCGTATAAGAAAAAAAAAAAAAAAAAGCCCTTTTTATGTTTAATATTTGCAAACCAGTACATCATGATATTATTACAGGAAATACAATTTTTGTGCCACGTGTTTGTTACTTGACTCCACGTATCTGCCTTGAATAACAGGATTTGCTCAGGAACAGAGCAAATAACTAAGTTTGAGACAGAAGATAACTATTATCATCTATGTAAGGTGTGGCACAGTAGCAAGAATATCATGCAAACCTCATTGCTTATTTGGACTAAACAGATAGATAACTTATTTTAATGGGTGTACCAAATTTCTCCAATCTGAACTCAAAGACAGAAGACCTGGAACAAGGTGTCAAAGAACATATTTCATTTTGCTAATTCATCTTCTAAAATTGAGGAGTAAAACCCCATTTGTGTTATTAATGAAATGCTTCAGAAAAGTAAACAAGTGAATTTATTTTTTTAATAGCTTAGTGAGATCATTTAAGAATCTTAAATATATAGCACCTCTATTCTTAATTTTGAATAACAATGTTATATTAACAACTCACCAGCTTTTCTCCTTTAATTTGAGTGTTTTCTTCTCTAACTTTTTTACTAATTGCTTCCTCCTTCAAAAAAGGAAAAAAGGATCATGAAGCACTATAAAATGCATTTAAAATTACTGTACATATATATATATTAATATTGTATTAATAGGGTATTGTGAATCATCATGACACTATTTTAAAAACTGTATTATATTGCAATGTCTAAATTTTTATTTATTTATAAATTTGTATTTCTATTCAGTGTATTTACTTCCCTAGGAAAGGTAGTTCTGGAAATAATTTTGGTACACAGTATATGCAGGTAGTAGAAAGGAATCACTGAGATGTATGCATCACAGAGATCCTTGCCATGATGTTTTATAAATGAAGAACAGAACACATTAACCAAAAAATTAATTTGTTTAAACTCCAAAATACCATTCTGATTTTTTGTTGCAGTTCTTGAAACTGTTTTTCCTTTGGTGCAAGATTGATGTTTTCTTCTCCCACCCTGTACTGAGATGTGACCTTGGACCTTATCAAGTCTGTAGTTACTTTCTTCAGTTCCTTAACACAGGAAACACGTATAAATAGTTCATCCAGTATAGGCATTGCAATTCAAAACAAAGACAAATCTTTTAAACTATCCTAAGTCATGCCCTACTTTTAAATAATGTATGGAAACAGAAGAATAAATTAAATTGAGGAACCAAAATTTCTAAGACTGACTTCCTAAACTTTGAACTTGTCAAATGTGGCTGAAAGTTTATTTTCTTATGAAAAATGTTATTGTGCTAATAATATTACTGTTTGAGGCATTTCTGGTACTTCCATATTTTGATACTTTCTCTTCCTAGAAGTACATTAGAAGTGAGCATTAAGCTGATATTGGTAAAGCCTCTTACACTGAAATATACAATAGGAATAAAGTGCCTATTATAAATACTATGTTCCTGAGAATCAGGAGGGGGAAAAAAAAAAAAAAGAACAGTGACTATCTGGTAAAAACAGGAACTGGCTATAAATTTGGAGGATCTTTGCTTTTCCTGAAACATTAATTACTTAATCTCAGGAGAATGCTAAATTAATTTTATATTAGAAACTTCTACAACATGATTTTCCATCTAAAATATGCGTTTGATTTTATAGTCTTTATAATCTTTTAAATATCCTGCTTTTTGAGGGGAGAGGGGTGCTATCTGTTTTCCAACCAGTTTATTCCAAGCTCCTAGTGAAGCAAATAAACAGCAAATGCTTTGATCTCATTAAATTACAACTTATAGTTCCTGGAGTCATAAATATTGTGCCCTATTCTCCCCCACCCCTCCCATTCTGGTACAAGGTAGTCTGTTTAATATCGCTCTCTCCTTGAGTGCTCTGACGTTTACTCAGACAAATAGCAGAGGTTATGAATGCTGTTCACAGATAGTATCAAGAATTCTTCATGATGCCATAGTGGTGAACCAAGCATTCAGAATGGTAATAGTTTTATCTAACAACTAAGTTTGGTCTGTTTAACTTTTCTTCACAAAACTGGAATTCCATCTTATCACAGCCCAATGGTTTAACTGTTCTGGACAAAATCATATAACAGTACCAAAAGAAAGGGAAGATTATGTAGCTGAAATTCACAAAGTTACATGGAAAATACAAGTACAGATACTACATTTAAATAAATCATTTTGTTTGCTAGAGGCTTTATTTCTCATGTATTTTAGCCATAAATCTGAAGTGATCTAGCTAGGACAAAGTGTAATTGCAGTATCAATTATAAAACTCAAAGACAGCAATGCTTTAGAAATGTGATATTCTGTAATCTAGGAAGAACCATCTTTGCAATGAAAACATCTTTTAGTTGTACTATTTTTACTAGAAGGCCCTAATAAAATATGCAAGCAGTAATCTTGTATTTAAGAAACAGAAGGTGGTGCAAGTTGTGGTGTTGTTTTTTGTTTTTTGTTGTTTTGTTTTTTAACTCTGTAAACATGAAAAGGTGCATTACACTAGTCTTTTACAAAGAATTAGATTATTGGTAGATAGGTTGTGTGCTACACAAGTAGGTGCATAATCCTGCCATGGATCTGATGTACATTTTGCCAAATTCTGAGTATACTGTGTACAGAAAAGTCTTACTATTTATTTTGTTGGGGAAAAGAATGTGCCATACTAAGTAAATTATGTCCTTGAAGTAAAAGAGAAAAGAAAAAAAAAAAAAAAAGAAAAAAGAAAAGATAACTACATTTTCTTCTGTATATATAGCAGGTGGATGTGTATAAATACATCTGGAATCAAACCCACATCTGCAAATCTACCAACGCTGTGGGCAGAAAACAACAGTACAAAAAGAACCAACACAAACCAAATTACCAAGAGTAATGAGAAAGTTTACCATGATGAGTGAAAGCACAAGCTACATAACTGTAAAAATAATATAAAATATTTTTAATACATGCATATATTTCTTGTACTCTGAAATTAAATAAAATCTGGAAAATAATTTCATCAGTTAGGAAAGGACAATAAGACTTTAAACCTATTCCTTTGATGTGTTGCTAGCAGTCAACACTCAGGGATGTGGTTTCAGAAACAATTTAAGCCAGCAACAGAAGTCAGAAGTCACACAAAAGAAACAGCCCTGTTCCTTAAATACGTTTTTCTTTCCTTTTGCTAATTGATCTAAGCTAAAAGTCACTCCCTTTTTTGTATTGATGAAAACTAAATTTTACTAAAAAAATAATAATAATAATTCTACTCTTTCTCAGGGCCACACAATCACATATGCCAACATGAAGTGGTAGTATAGGACTGGAAAAAGAGCCATTACAGGCAGATGTAACTGCTTCCAAGACAGTACCAATAGCATATACAAACTTAAAGTTTATGCAACATAACAAGCACATCTTTTTGCTCTCTTCCAAGATCAGAGCAACCCTGGTAATCTCTCAGGCCTTGAGCAGAATAGATGTTTTTTAAAGGTTTGTTTCATTCTATTGATTTTCTTGCAAGCACTTTCAAAGTGTTTGAAAAAAACCAACAACCTACCATGTTGAATATCTAAGTGTTCAAGTTATAAAAACAAAAGCGTTTCCTAAAAAGGAAATTAAGCCAAGATATCAGAACTGGGCTAGTAAGCACACAATGTCAAGAGCAAACTACCACCTCTCCAAATATTTCTTTCCACAAATTCCAGAAGCCTAAACATCTGCAGAATGGACCTCAATGTAAATCAGGTTTTCCAGTTGTACTTAATACCCCCATCACATAAGTGTAATTGTATTAATATTGGAGATTAGTTTACTTTTTTCCATAAATGTTGAATTCACTAATTCATATTCCCATTAAGAACAAATGTGAGAGATCATTCTAGTCCAAGTTAAAGTAGCGGCTGTGGTAAGAGCTAACAACTCACAAGTTTTTAGATTTATTAGAGGTCAGTCAAGTCGCCAAGGCAGATAAAACCAGTTGCATAAGACGTCACAACTTGTGCTGCAGATATGACAACTTCTTTCAGCTTTGCAGCAATTGAAGATAGCCTAGTAATTCCTCTTCAAAACTATTCTAAATATCAAAGTTTTCTCATTGCTTTATATCTCTTGTAGGTCCCCTCAGCTCTACAAGATACATTCCCCAACAAGAGAAAACACCTTACTGCTTTAAGATCACTACTGCAATGGTAAGGCTAAGGGAAAGGGAACTGCAATGAAATGAAACTAGCTCAGGGCAATTCTTAGTGGGTCCAAGCATTTTCTTTGTCTTCACTTACAGACTGACCCAAAAGACAGAGCCTACAGCCCTTCACAAATGGAAGTTGTGCTAACTATACAGTGCCATTACAGATATGTGTCAGGAATACACTATGCCACTACTTCACTTTCTAAAAGTATTTTATAAGCTGAAATTTATAAACTGTTGAAATAGGAAGTACTGAAAAATGGACTGTAATTTTTTTTATATTATTAATTTTAAATTGTATTTTCACAGATATTCTACCTTTCATGGAAAAATACCCATCATTCTACTACACAGAACCTTCATCTACAAATCTGTAATTACAACTAAACAAGCCTTCACTTTTTGTTCAGACAGCGAGTCATTCCCACGAAGTGTCACATCACTACACGAGTATTGGAAAAGCTAAGCAATTAAATTCTAGTTCAGGTCTCCACTCACATTCACAACAGGATGGTCAGATACTACACGTCCACTAAGAAATTCAGAAATAGCCAGGATAAAGGCATTTCCTGGTGAACGATGGAAGCCAGATTAAGTTTCTGCTGGCCCCTTCTACTGCTTATCTAGCAGTACTTTATTTAAAATTTATCACCCATGACCTTAAGAGCCAATAGTACTGCTGAAAAAGATGGATCAAGAAATACATTTTATTACTGGAGTACACAAAATATTATCAGTTTATCTCGCATATCTGTTACTCATAAAATTTATTACGTAAAAATTTTCTTAAACATTTTTTTTTTCTTACCTCTCAGATTACTTACTCTCAGGAGAATTCTATGCAATTAATTGTTGATTCTTAACCAAAAGCAACAAATTTAATTGACTGTGATGCTTAAGAGTTTTTAAAGAGTCCTTGAATGTTGATATTTGCAATATAATACAATAAAGATATGCTTCATTTTAGATAAATGTCCCTGTTCTTCACATGAAAGTTACAATACACTTTTAAAAACCTGTATGATATCTAGGTTCAATTTATGATTTGTGACTAAAATATTTTCGTGTAGTAAATATCAACATTAAGTGTTTGAGAAGGCAGAAATGAAACAAATGAAAACAGAGCTAAGTAGTAGGCCAAGAAGCTGCAAGTAATCATGCATTTGCTTCCTCCCTAAAATCCTCACAGAATCAAAGGGAGAGAAAACAGCAGACTGGAAAGAAAGAGAGATATGAAAAAGATGAGGTACAGAAAGATAATGAGTTTACAGAACAATTTTGTCTTCAGAGGGTCCCTTTGCCTCTTCTCCTGTCAGCACCTAAGAAACAGCTTAAAGAAAAGAGAACTTTATCCTTACCCCTATTATATAGGTCTAAGAGAGTGCAACTGAAAACATACCTGGCAAATATTAGTTTCTTAGTAGAAGAGAAGCAGAAAAGAGCTTAATGGCCAGGCAAATTTTGCCCATAGCATCACTATAATTGACGGTCTCAGTTGCCCTACATTAAAATTCTCTCATTTCTGACAGAGATTGAGAAATTAATGTAATTTATTCTATGTTTAAGCTATCAGCTTGCTTCTATGACATAAGTAACCTTTTTCTTACCCAATTGTGTTTGACTACACTGAAAACACCAGTTACCTTTCCCTACCAGATGGAAAATGCAATGGCAACACAGCACAGGAAAGAGATGGGTTGACAATAATTAAAAAGAAACTGAGTAGGATACTATACAGGTAAACAAAAATTCCCAAGTTACAGAAACTATTCAGAGCTGCTCAACATTTAATTGGCAGTCATCTGAGGCATCTGTGTATAAGATGGGAAACTAAGACATATTCAGACATTAGTCACAGAATGAAGAACAGTTGCATGCTACTCATATACTGTTTCCATTGACAATACAGCAGCTTGAACAAGTCCAAAAGAAGCCCACCTACACATTTAGAAATACATACTATACTTACTTCCTTCAGATTACTTATTTCAGTCTCTTGTTTTTTATTCACTGATGTTAGTTTCTTATTGAGCTGTATTGCTTCCTGTACTTTAAAAAACAGATGAAACATGTTAATATATACTTCTGCATTTAAAGAGCTATTTGATTTATATCTGCAATATATGTGTTTTTAATGCCTAAAATAGTCAAGCTTTTTGGAACAGAGGCTAAGGCTGAAAATATGACTCAACTACTCTTTCCATGTATTATGATACTACATAAAAGGATTACAGCAGCCAGTATCAGTTGTTCTATACCTCAAAAAACAAGTTTAGAATTTTGTTTGTTGATTTTGTCATTTAATTTCTAGTGCCATTTAGCATCACCCATTTGAGTGACTTCTCCATCAGCTTTCAATCTTATCTGAAAATTACCTGTAAAACCCTAGTTTTAAAAACAAAGCTAAGTCAATTATTTTCAGAGAAACAGAGAACATAATGAACCACCGAACACTCAACTACTTGAGTTAAATGTACAGAGTTATGTTCATACAGAACATGGAAGATCACAAACAGGATACTGGAGGACAAGCATATCCTAAGTATATAAGCTTGTCCTATACTTAGGACAAGCATGTCCTAAGTATATCCTCTGTCTCTTTTGAAAGGGAACGGAATCACAAGATATCACAATGAAAAATTGAAGATGTTCACCACCATTCCTGTACTTTAGTCACTTCTATTCAGCCTAAGAATTTTGATCCCCTCAGCTTTTCCTTCAGCCTTTTCAGTTTCCTACAGGAACTCCAGACACTCCATAACACCCAGAAAATTCTTCCCATTTGTTGAAGATGTGCTTAGCAAATGAAAATGCTTTTAAAAGAATGTAATGCATGTAAACATCTTCTGGTAAACTTTAGAAAAAAAAAATCAGGCAAAAGTTGGTAAAGTTTTCAACGAGACTCATATGTTCACCCTCTATCTTTAAAGTGCTAATAATGGGTCACTAGTAAGACAAAGTTTTAGATTTATCATGCATTGTGGCATTTTCCCTATAAAAGCACTAAAGCATCAGTTTTTACTTTCTTGTTTCCCTACATACTGTTCTAATACAGCAGATAAAGAACAACTGTTCATAAATTTAAACAATTTGCATGAAAATGTCTCATACCCGTTCTGCATGACTCTTCCACTGACTGCAGTTTCTTGCTCTGAATTTACAAGTTACCTATTTCAGGTCTTACATACTGCAGTGAAAATTGAATTCTCACTGCAGTAAAAGACAGACCAGAGTTAAACTGGTGAAAAGACTGGCTTCTTACACAGAACCAGTTAAAAACTTAGATTTAATCTTTTCCAAGGGTTCCTTGGGTAATTACTTATAAATGCAAGTAGAAACATGGCAAAACATATTATATATAGTTAAAAAAAAAAAAAAAAAAAAAAAAAAAAACACTGAGTGTTGTTTCCACAAAATAGCAAAAGACTTTTCTGTATTGACATAGTAGAAAGCCCTGCCTTTTTTTTTTTTTTACATATTTACATTTACATACAAAGAAAAGCCCTTCATATGTAAATACAATGAAAATACAACAATGTTTTCTCTTTGTTTATTTTGAATATCAATCACTAACCTACTTTCAAGAAAGGGGTACAAAAAGTAACCTGAGGTAGTAAAATACCACAATTTCACACAAAAAGAGAAAATCCCAAAATACTAAAAATATTTTGGGCAAATAATGTCCCAAAATTTTTGATAATGTGTTAGCAATTTATTTGGATGAGATCTGAAGAACTAGCTGGCTTCATGCAAAACATAAAAAATAAAAATAAATACCAAAGTTTGTAATTTATACATCTAGTATTCCTTTTCTTTACAAAAGGAATTAATGTTCTTAATCAAAGGACAAACTGGAGGCACACAAAACAATATGCACAAAATAGTCCTATACAAATTTTCATGCAGACCTTGCAGTGAATTACTTTGTTATGCAAAACTAGGATTTGTCTCTTGAATTAACAGGTACCAAAAAAACAAAAACAAACAAACAAAAAAAACCACTAATGTAAATGAAGCTTATTAGTTCACATATCAGCTTTATTATTTTACAGATGAAATATATATATAGTTATATTAAAAAAAAAAAAAAAGGGTATGCGGAATGCTATTTTTGTATTAATAGATTCACAAATAATTCACAAATCATTTTGTTATTTAATACTTTAGAGGGGTTAAGGCTTTATAAAGCCTGAATGGTAACATCAAATCTAGGTAACAATAACTCTACGAAGTTATTCATCCACACTATTTACTGAAGTAGTTTTAAGACTTTAAATTTCTGTACAAAACCTGCAAAATATTATATTTCATTAATGTTTTCTGTCTATTTCCCAACATTAAAGCTAGTTCAAATGACATTCATTTTTTATTATCTGCTAATTCATCCCCTCATTTAAGCTTGTACCACTGTTTATGTGGATGTCTACTCAATGGCAGGAGAAAGGTGATCCAAATTAAGCATATATATATATATATATATATATATATATATATATATATATACACACACACACACGTATAATTTTTTTTTTTTTTTTTGAAGGGCTGAGTCTGCTGCTGTACTGTTTTTGAATACAAGTCTTTTCCTCAATGTAGTTTACTGTATGGTCACACACACAGCTGTAGCCATATAACAGCAAAGAGCAGAGCAGGTACAGGGGCTGTGCTGCTTGACTTGGCACTGTCACGCAAAGAAACACAGCAGAAGCTACTGAGATGCAGTAATTGTCAGCTGGTATATTTGATATTAGACACATGGCAGCTACTATTTTTTGAGTTCTGTCACACATCTGATACTCAGTCTGGTCAAAAATAAAATAAAAAACAAATGCTGGAGGATGTTTAAGCCATACATACCACTGTGCTCTAATTGTCCATGAACACCTTTAACAATGCCAAACTGACATACAATAGTGGCATAACACCTCTCAACTTCATTCAGTTTCTTATGATGCTCCTCTCTTGCTGCTAAGTGCAACTGTAATTTCTGATCCTGTTAGAAACAAATGAAGCCACTGCTTAATGGTGCCCACTAGCATGTATAAATCAACTCTGCAAATGCTTAACATTATAGCAAAATGCAAAATCATTTTCAGAATAGCTTAGTTGTCTATTTCATATCTGACAATCAGTTCCCCCTTCCAGATAACACCCCATTCCAAAAACCTGCACCTGTGTGTTAGCCTATCAAACAGGCACTTCAATTTATTTTCTCATGCTGTCCCTTAGATTTAGGAGAACTTTCAAGTAAATACATGCAGAACTCAATTAACTGCTTTTAAATCCTGTTCTCAAGTTTTTCTTTGTTATATAGCTTACTCTAAACATGCCATTTCATTTGTGTTGTGAACATAACCTAACATAGTAACAGTGCCTCAATATCTGCCTGTGGTGCATACTTGCTGTCCTGTACTACCATTCAGGGCAGCATCACAAACTCACTCCTTCAATGTAGGATGCCCGTGGAGTTTAACACCATAAAGACAACACACCAGCTTTTCAGAGCGGTCCTCCACCTGCCTTTCACTGCGGATTCAGAACTGTAACAGTGGCTTTGGCAGCTGTATGTTTCCACCTCATTGCCCTAGCTGCTCATTTCTCCCTACTGTAGTACTCAAACAAGCATACTATGTTTGTGGTTTTTTTTCTTACTACCTTTATGAGTACCTTACTTCTTTCAGCATCTTGGCTTAACTAGTATCTTGTCCCACGCTTTAAGTAAAATGTATTTAGATTTCATTAATCTAACCAATCTCTCTCTCGTTTTGTGAGGGGGTGATTGAAAAATTTATATTCACATGAACCTGTATTCAGTGACATATACCATTATCTATTTTTATCCTTTCATATACAGTATTTTTTGTGTTCCTCTTAAATATTTTAGTATTTTTCTTAATAGCTTTGTAGGTACTATTAAGACAATTTTAAATTTAATTTTCTCTTTAAAGAAAGTAGGTTAAATTACTTCCTCTGAAAATATTAATATGAAAATATATTTAGGCATCTAGTCTATTTCTAAACTACAGTAGAGCAACATAGCAACTAAAATGAATTGGGCCAAATTCATTCTTGCGTGTAAATTCAAGTTACACAAGGATGAATCTGGCCCAAGCTGTTTGGCTTCTGTAAGGCTCCCTTCCCATACAGTAACAAATGCAATACATGTCCAAGCATCAGAGGATAATAAAAGCTGATAGTAATCAAAAGAAATGATCAACATAAGGCTAGCAAAACAGGATATACAATACAAATTTCTCATGTTTTATAAGGTATGAAATTAAACACACTACAGCAAATGGAAAGTCATAATGGAAGCACTGGTAAAGAAACACCACCACTTACAGAATCACTGCAAGGAATTTAGGCTGTGAATTTTCATGTACTTTCTCTTTTTCCTAATGAAAAGTAAGCTTAAAAAAACACTGTACTTCACTAAAATAAGAATGTGGGATTTATACAATAAAGGAAAATCTATATTTGTTTTTCCTGATAATAATTCAGGTGTATTCATTCTAAGAGACTGATAAATACGGGAGCATCACTAACACAAGACTTGAACAGCTTGTGGCAAAATTTGAGTTTTTGCCTTTTGTTCTTATTTTGTTTTTCTTGGTGTTGTCGCAATTTCTTTCTTAATCTTTCTTAAGTCAGCAGGACTGCATTACTCCTTTCTCCCCATTAGAACAGGTAGAAATATGCTTTGTTATTTCCCAAGGCTCTTTCCAATGAGAAAAGGAATTGGCTTGCTGTATCTTCAAAAGTGTTCTATTAAGAGTTTACCACTTGTCTAAACATAATTGATGGCAAGCTGCTCTCCATCCTTAGAGTGCCCAGGAAAATAAAAGCAGTTTGGTTTGCCTTCTGACATCTTTCCCTGGATATGTGGATCTTCTGCTCACAATGAAAAGGTCTTAAAACATTCTTGCATAGAAGACAATAAAGAAACACCAAGAGACTCCACAGGATAGGGAGGGTCTGACCCTGGAGTTGGAGCAAGACCCACAGAATCTCGGTTCTCCTTCCTAATGTCTGATACTGCATGAACAGGAATTATTGCCCTGCCTTCCACCAGTAATAAAGATAAGCTGGGATGGGGAGTGGAACTGATTGTGGCCATATGGCTTGTTGAGGCACAATCATTTCTTGGTGGAACTAGACCAGAGAAATAACTCAGGGTCAGGTATGTGACTGGAGGAAGACAAAGAGGGAATTGCTCATATCTCAAAAATATTCTGGAAATTGAGTCACTAGTCAGTTACTCAGCGAATCAAAAGGTGGTAATTGGGAGGTGAAAGTGTCAGAGGAACAAAGGGGCTGTTATGGAACAAAAGACTACGGCAAGATCATGTGAAAATTATGCAGAGAGCTACCAACTCAAAACAGGAAAAGTGTTTCCACACTAGTTCTCTAGTTCCTACATTTTTTCTAATTAAAAAGTCATTATTTACGGTTTATACTGTACTACTCCTTTCTCACTATTTTTAGACGACAGTGTAATTACAGGCAAATTTCTAAAATATGTGGAAAAGAAATAAATCTAATTTTAAAAGTTGAGTTGTTCTTAATAATCCAGGATAAGAATGTCATATCCTGTTTTACAAGTACACATTTTTTGTTTGGTAACCACCTCTATATTACAGAACTAAAAAGTGGCAAGGAAACTCTCAGGCAATGCCTATACTGCTGGGTTGTTAGGAGATTCATGGCAGATTTGGCCTAAATCAAAAAGCACTCAAACAGAGCCTGGGCACAGTTCAGGAGACTGTCTACTGAGAACAATCTGGGTTATTTGGATGCAGCTTCCTCTTTTGAAGAGTAGTAGAGTTTAATGAAGCTAGGCCATTTCATATCACTTGAATTCAGCTTTGATGAATGGTCTCTCAAACATTTTATTTACCAATATAGTCAGCAAGTGAAACTAGACTAAATACCAGTCATTCACAGAAGTATTCATCCCACTTTACTCATCAATACTGACTGTCAAGTGACACCTTATAAACAGTGACATCTCCCCCTTTGGTCTTCAACCCAGCCATCACTAGCCTTAGCCTCACTCGCCTTCTACATTTAACACCATGATGGTATGGTTAAGGATTAGGTACTACAAGTACAAGTGAAGTTGAGAAGAGAAGTAACTCTAAATGCTTTCTCAGACATACCCAGGATAAGCCAGTGCAACTTAAAAAGGGAAAGGATGAATACATGTAAAGTTTTTGAAGAGTATTTTTCTACTCTACATCCACTTTTATTCTACACTCTCAGAGTTTCAGCATTCTACATTTTATCACCTGTGAGGAAAGTAGTGAAGGAAGAAACCAAGACCTGACCCAAGACCATTTTCCTCTAGTTACTCCTTTATTTCAGCAGCAAGAAAAGAATGCAATACAGAAGCCACAATCGAGTTGGTTACAACACTAGTTGTCTGACAGAATAACCCTGCAGCCTCCTGACTGTATCTGTATGCAGTGACGTACAAAGCAACTATACCACGTAATAATCAATACCGTTACTGCATAAACAAAAAAGAATGATGGAAGAAAAATCCTTTGTTTTATGTTGAAAGGCCATATAGAGATGGAGAAACAAAATTCTACTATTTCAAAATTCTAGCGTGTCATCATGTACATGATATGAGCACTATAGTTTTCACATAACCTTAACTGGATAGCATGCTAAAATAACATGCAATATATAGACCTCAAAAATGTTAGATTAAAAGAACAGAACTGAAAGGAACAAAACTGAAATAAAGTGGTACATCAATTCCCAACACATACGAAAGCTACTTTATTAATTGGCAGAGTTTCTAAGGTTCCAGATACAAATTAAATCTCTAACAAACTTCACGTAAATGGGTCTCAAAAAATCCATTCTACTTCAGAATATCTTGTCATTTGTGATAACTAAGATTCTACGTGGTCTTTTGTTCCCTTAAACACATTTATTTCAGCACAATCACTCAAGTTGGTAGAATCTAACGCAGTCTAAAACGTTATTAGCCCACTACTGCATATGGTTGTAGGAAAGAATTATTTTCTACTTTGTGTGTTGTTTGTTTGTTTTTGCCTCTACATCTTCTACATGTATGGCCAGGCCATACATATTACATTTGGTGCTACATGCAAAAGAGAACTTCTAATATTTAGTCCCAAACTCAACAGCATTTTCAATAACCACATTCTGTATCAAGGGCACAGTACCCCAATGTTTTCAAAATATTCAAATAATTATTTGTTGAAACAATATTATGAACATAGAAAAGGAAGATATTTAAATAACAGCACCTTTTCTACGAGATAGAAATGGATCTGTGCTGCTTAAACACTCATTCATATGGAAGACTGAACTTGCAAATTATTAATGAAAGGTAGTATGTGAAATGATCTAAATATAAGTTCAATAATTCTGTGTATTTTAAGCACCCTTTTAGATCAGATGTATTTTAAGAATAAACGTAAGTTAAAAGTGAAGTAAGACAAAACACATTTTATGTTGCCTTTGATCTTTAACTTGTAGCCTTATCTCCCAGGTCAGAGGGCACATTATTCAATTTCACCATATTTTGTGTAAAACCACTGTAGCGTTGAAGATGACTTTCAGTACAAATGTCATGGTACTTAAAGCTAAACTGGACCCTAGTTTTTTGAGCTTCTTAATTAAGATCACAGTTTATAATGGTCTGACAATATTATCTTTATTCTTTCCAGTTGAGCAGCAGCAGAATTTTCACAGCATTTATTCAATCAAGCTTAGCAATGTTTCTGCAGCTCATTCTTTCACTTCCCAAAACAGACAACAGGGTTCAGAGCGACTAAGCTGTCACTCTGTATAAATTTATTCTCTGTGTCAAAGGGAGTAAGCTGGACTGGATGAAATCTAAACTGTTCAGGGGAACTGATGTTGAGAAGTAATTCTGAAAAGAGTGGTGAAAGAGTGAGAAAATCCATAATCAGTTTTTCTCAAACAACAAAACAAAAGCAAAAAGCTGTCCAGAATTTTCTACTACTTCTTTGGGATGGATATGCTAGATCCTACAATTATATGGATTCTGTAATTACATTTTTCATATCAGACCATGAAAAAATAATTTTCATTCTGTTCTATAACATGAGCCAATTATTTTTATTCATGAAGAAAAAATCCAAATGGTATAAACAGCAGCTATCACAACTTAAGAAACTGAGAACGTTACTTCAGAGAGAAAACTTTTTCAGATTCAAAGGTGATATCAACTCTCAATTACTTATAGTTATACACCCATCAAGTATTAGAGATAGCTAGAATTGACATTATATAAACTGACATTCTCTTTTTATAAAAACTTACTCTTTTATTAATTTCTTACCATTTCATTCAGTTTCTTTTGTAAAATGTATTTTGAAATCTGTCAAATGAAAAAGAGCTATCAGTTGAACTGCAGTTACATTTTTTTCCTGAAGACAAACTGTAGATATTTAAATATTCTTATACCTAAGATTTAATTGCACTTATTCCAATCCAATACAGTAACACTGTTTTCAAATGAATGGCTACCCTATTTTGCTGTAAGACTCACTTAACATCATCTTTATGTTTTAAAAAAAATGCTTTACATTGATTTGCAGCTACAGGAATTTTGAAAAATACATAAATACCTCTGATCACTGTCATGTATCATAATATTTAAAGGGACTACATTCTATAAACTTAACCCTTTGAAATAAACAGAGAAGAAAACAGGAATAAAGTTTATCCCCTTCTGGGGGAAAAAAAAAAAAGTAGATAGTCCAACGGTTGTATACAAAGATATATTGTACCCATCTAGCATGCTTTAATAATAAAAGCTGACATTTGAAGTCATTAACACTTCTTTTCATACACCACCACCAATAGAATTTTGATTTTTATAATACTTGAGACTAAAGCTGTTGCTATTTTATTTTTTCCTTTAACATCCTAAGACATTGACTTGTAAACAATTAGGGAAGCATCAGTGAATTTAGTATGTGTAAATCCTACATAGCAAGTATTTCTAAAAAACAAACCTAAGTCTAGAGAGCAATCATTTTTAAGGTAGTATTTTGACTGTTTAGATAAAGGACTACAGAACTTAACTGAAAATTGGCTCAGTAATATTTTAGCCTGATTTCCAAACAGTTTCTCTGGGTCCACTGGTTCATTGTGGCCTCCCACTTCCTCAAGCCACAGCAGAATTCTCTAGATCTGAACTATACGTTACAAAAATGTTTGATCTGCACTCTCAACTGTACAATAAACAATGATAAACTTTTCTAAGAAAAACTGAAAACGGAAAAGCCAGTGAAACCTTTCACTGCTCTACTTCATCTGTGCTATATCAAGGTTTGAAGGCAGCAATGGAACACTTGATCTATTGTAAAAGACTGTAAATAAGAACCAACCTTATTAAAAAATCATTAACACCCATTATTGTAGAGAAAATATATGAAGTAGTGAATATCCTGAAGAACATCAGATGTTATTAACATGGCATTTACAGTAACACTAATTCTCTTTTAACGAGGCCACGCCTCAAGTACTGTGCTCAGCTGTGGGCCCCTCACTAGAAGGGCATCGAGGCCCTGGAGTATGTCCAGAGAAGGGCTACAAAGCTGGTGAGGGGCCTGGAGCACAAGTTTTATCAGGAACAGCTGAGGGAGCTCAAGTTATTTGTCTGGAGAAGAGGCAGCTCAGGGGAGGCCTTGTTGCTCTCTGCAACTACCAAAAGGAAATTGTGGGGAGCTGGGGGTCAGCCTCTTCTCGCAGATAACGAGTGATAGGACAAGAGGGAATGGCCTCAAGTTGCACCAGGGAGGTTTAAGCTGGAAATTAGGAGACATTTCTTCTCAGAAAGAGTAGTCAGGCATTGGAACGGGTTGTCCATGAAGTTGGTAGCATCAATGACCCTGGGGTGTTTAAGGAAAGGTCGGATGCAGTGTTTAGGGACACGGTTTAGTGGGTGACATTGGTAGCAGGGATACGGTTGACCTTGGAGGTCTTTTCAAACCTTAGTGATTCTAATCTATGATTAAAACACCTAAAACCATTTTAATCACCGTGCTTGTAGCAGAACCAAACACAGTGTCTCTGGATCTTAAGAGGTAATCCTTCCTTTGACAACAGTCAACTTCAGATTTTCTCCAACTATATCTCATTTGTCCATGCTTACCACATCACTTAATGGATATATTTACAACTCGCTAAAGGAACACTTCAGTTCTCATAACCAAGGCTCTCACTGAAGTGCTTCTAGCACATGCCCAAACACTATCTGGGACTGGGCAGATTGGGATTATTTCTTCTTTAGAGTATACTGCAGAACTAGACTATCCATTCAACATCCAAAACAAATCAAAAAGATGTCTCTAATTTGGAGACTCATTTGGATGCAGAAATCTGAGCAACCCTTAGCAAGTGTAAAGTTTTTAAACAAAAAAATTTTTTTATTACCTACAAATAGAATAAGTGTCAAGTTCTACATTTAGGATTTCACTGTCCTGGAAACTACAAAAAATATTGTAAATTTGAAAAGGAAAGTTCACATTAAAACCTCCAGACAATTCAGCCATGAACATCCAATATTTTGATTTTTTATCTTTGATTTTCATAAATACACTCATTCAATGGAAAACGTGATTTTTTTCCACCCCAGATTTTCTGAATCTGGGTTTCTACATACCCACAAATAATACCATGTGGCTGCACCAACAGCATCTTCAAAGTCTTAAGCCTCTCTCATGATGAAACCACTTCCATCTTGATGGTGGTAACAATCTACTGAAGATGACTTGTTTGTAGCAGTGCCAATTGGTTGACAAGCCCAGATGCCAAAGGTGGTGTTATCACCCCTTGCAAGGCACACATCTGTCCAAATTCACAAATTGGTACTGCAGTCTACTTATCCAACTTGCCTCTGATTTATAAACCAAGGTGACAACTGAAATCTATCTTACCACCTATGAATTTGTAGTTAATAAGCATGTGATTTACCTTTTCCATTTTAATTCCAGTTAAAGAATCTAATGGAAAAATTAAAGAATTAAAACTATACCAACATCAGTCTGTTTGACCATAAAGAGGTAATGTGAAAGAATGTACGAAAAGCAGCAGTGATCAGAGCTATATCCTAAATTGAATTACAAATGCCAAATTCAGAAGTTTCAGGCTTTCTGAGGAGGGAGCTGGGGAAGAGATATGAACTTTCTTGAAAAATATAACCCAGAGATTTTGCTTTATTTCAAATAACCAAAAAATACAGCTACAACATGAAACACAACCTTATAACATAATAAAATACAAAACAGAAATAACAGGAAGAAGCACCAGAATAATTTGTGGGTTTATCTGACAATTTTTACTTTTACTAGCAGACATTGTAAAGCAATGGATTAAGCGGAAAAAAATATAGAAACCTCCCAGTGATACAAAGTCAGGGAAACTAATACAAAAGACAGGTAGCTTTGCGAGTTGGAGGTCCAGAGTGAATACTTTTTGTGTTTAGGAGTCCAAAACCAGAGTTTCCAGACAGGTGAGAAGGCTCCAGAGGAGAACGGCACAAAGAAAAAGAAAGACTGCAGACATGAAAAGAAAAAAAGAAAAAGTGGTGTGTGAAAGTTCTTGTAGAAGAAAAGAACTTAAGCTGGAAAGTTAACTGAAAGTAGCTGAAGACCAGAACAGAAACTCAGTGTTGGAAAGTGATGTGTAAGGGTACTAGGAAGTTGAAAAGAGACTGCCATAAAGACCCTCTTAAAAATAGCTGGTCAGGTTATTGTGATGCCGGAACACTTGAATACCAAGGAATATTATTTAACAAAAATAACACGTTACCTGTAATGTTTTTAGTGTTTCTTTCAGCCCATCAATTTCTTTTTCTTTTGTTTCTACAGCAAGTTGGTATTTTCCCTTTCAAAACAAAATCTGTGCTTCAGGATTTGGACAGAATAAATGCATTTACAATGGAATCTTATCAAGAAGAATATTATTAAAATAGCACTACTCTGCTATGACAGAACAATTTACAAATGCAAAAACAGGTAAAATTCAAATAAATGTTTATATATATACCTATATACACACACACACAAATGTTTAGCTGAATGCATGTACATATTACTATAAAGAAAAGAGTGAAGATGTGACTATATATATATATATATTATATATATTTTTTTTTTTTTTTTACTACTTATGACCTGTCAATAAGTTTTAGATTTTTCTGTTCTTGGGGAGAAGCCTGACAAAGGCAAGATCAAAAAAAATTACATGCACACAGATGAACAATTTAAAGAATTTAAATGCAATTGAATTAGGTAAGAATCTCAGGTAGCAATCAATACAATGGAAAGTGTAATCTAGGTAACAGAGTACACCTGTAGAAACATCACATCCGTTCACCCATCCTTTGGTGTTCCACTTGTTTCAAACAGTGCTGTCAGTGCAATCTCCTGAAACAACCTTGACGAATGACTTAATAAAAGGTACATATATTGTAAATTGGGCAAAACTTATTGTTTGTATTCAAACTCTGTCCTGAACCATTACAGCTAGATTTATTATTTTAGTTACTTTGGTACGAAGTACTGAAAGCATCACTGAATTCAATTGAAGTATTTGAAGTTTAAAAAAAAAGAAAAAAAACAAAACCACATCTGTACATAATTCAACTCCGAATCAGTAACTGTCACTGGAAATACACATCAGGGACTATTACATGGTAGGCATGGACAAGCAGCATGTCTTAACAAGGAAAAATCTTTAAATATGAGTAAAACAATAGCTAAGCCAGATGTTATAAATGCAAACAATGTATTTTACTTTAATATACTTTAAAACCTATTTCATCTATTTACAATTTTCCATTAAAGTCCTTATGAAATATATATAGCATACTCATCTAGTCTTAATTAAGAGCCCATATATAGATATTCAACTGCTTGACTTCTTAAAAGAGGCCTCTAATACAGCAAATGCAAATCCCTTATTCAAACAAAGAGGCAGACACACAGTTTGGTATAAAAGCCTCATGTGGTTAAAAAAAATATAAAACAAACAAACAAAAAAAACACACAAAGAAACCCCCAAACAAATTTAGTCTCAATATCTTAAACTACCTCAGGTAAATCAATAGAAACCCTATTATAATCTTTTTACCAAAACAGAGTTATTTTTGGTCAACTCTCATGTAAAATACAAAACAAAACAAAAAAAAAAAACACCACCACCACCAAAAAAACTTATTACAGTACCTCAAGACCTCAAAATAAATACAGTTTTGTATAACTTCAGTATAGAGGTATCAAAGAACATTTATTCTTCAAACAACTTTTTAGCATAAACAGATCTTAAAATATTATTTCACAAGTAATTAAAGCTATACAGGTTATAAAGAAGGAATAACAATTGTTTAAAGTAACTGTAGTTTATATTTTATAAACAAATAGCTTTAGTAAAAGCCACAGGAAGAAAAATACTTGAACTGTAATATAATTTATACTTAGAAAGTGTTTGACAAGTTACATAACATAATCACTTAGCTTATGTGCTTCACCAGATGAAAAATAAATTCTAATATACAGTACCTTTTCTTCTTCCATGGCAAACATCCTTGCTTGTAACTTGATTCAGTGGCATAAAAAGTGGAAACAAGTCAATATAGCAGTTAGGATTTATTCATGCAGCTTGACAAGGCAACATATTTATACTTTGCAGGGTAATATATATAATTTTTAAATATATATCTATATTCGTCGTCCTACAATAGCAGTAAGCTTGTGAATCACAAACTATTTTTTCAAGAAAGAAAAGACTTGCTTATTATTTGTGTGATATGATTGCACATCACAGCAGTAGTGATAAATTTATTCATCACCACATGCGACAGTTTCAGTTCTTAAGACTGTTCTCTGAAGCTTTTCAACACTCATTTATTGATTTATGGATAAAAATGATCCTGATTTGAAGGACTGAAACGTATTTTCAGACATTGAACTGGGTAAGTTACATTGCAGATCTTTTTCCATGGGGGTAAGAAACAATTTGCAGAACATGTGCCATTTTTGAAAGTGGAGGAGAATGGAACAACAAACAAACAAAAAATAAGATTTAGAAGCTTCTCTAGGAATTTTTGTGAAAGAAAATCCCTGTAATAGTGGCTTACTGTGAAGAATTGCCAAGTGTAGTATGTCTGGATTTTTTATTTTTTTTTGAGCTGTATATTCCATCATTTTACATGCAAAAGTATCATAATACCAACTGAAAACTTGCTATTATGCCATCATATTCTGAAATCTTAGTGTCATATTGGAAAGCTTTATTGTGCTACCTGCTTTTTAAAAGCTGCCATAGCTTCTTTGTTCTGTTGCTGTAGTATGTCTGTCTGATGCTGCAGAGTTTCCTGCTCACAGGAAATAACAGTATTATTTAAAGCAAACCATACATACAATCTTAAGGAAAAAATAGGTTTAATAGATAGACGATTAAAAGCAAAACCCAAAGATTAAATAGACATTTATAAATAGACATTTATATATAATAGACACTGGTAATCATCTAGGGGCTTCTCTTCTAGTTCATAACAATTATCACCTCAGGAATTCAAATGTGTTGTTGCTGGGACAGCTATAAGCAGCTCTTACCCATCCTATAAAGCTACATAAGAAATCCTACACTCACTGCCATATTAAGATAGTACCTTCACGCAGTTCTAGATAGATCTTCATCTCCATTTAAATGAAATACCATCTGTTATTCTGTTTTAGTTAAATGACTAAAATTTAACTGAAACTGCGTGAAAGAGCTGAAGGAAGGACAGAACAGACAAAGTGAAGATGATCACAGTGCAAGACATTTATCATCCTGCCGCCTGGCTTTACTCATAGCCATAAAATGGCACACAAGAAAATGATAATAATTTCAGACTAATACTAAATGCTGTCAACTTGCAGAGCCATAAGATCTTTAAAGATCATGTTCCTACACTCAGGATAGGAAAAAACTAGTTGAGGTGAAGTAATATGGAAGATATCTTTGTGAGATCAATTTTTTTTTTTAATTCTGGGCACTAAAGAAATATTAGGTAAAGGGAATCCAAAAAAACTCTGTCCTTGAGCAACTATCTCAAAATGCAGATGTGTGTTTAGCTATGAAGTCTTTGTGTGAAGTAGGAAATAATGATTAAGCAGTAACTGTACAAAAATAAAATAATACAGACTGCTAAAAACAAATGTGTGAGAAACTAAAATGATAATTTGTTGTATGTGTGAGAAACCAATTTCCTATTTCTTCTTCTCCCTTAACCAGGGATTTGAAGTTTTTCTGACAAAGTGATTCTAAAATTGCTACTTTCTCCACCAAATAGGCATTATTTTCAAATTCTGCAAGTGAGAGCTTCTGTCTTTTTATCTGAGTAAGAAGAGAATCTGTGAAGGTAAAGACTTATACTGATGTACATACAGATTAATTCATTGCGAGATATTTATAGAAAGTTCTGATTTGCATTGAATTCCAACCAACAAGACATAGTACATGAATGAGTGTAAATTCAGAGGTGTAAAAACATGAATCTTGAGGAATAAGCCAAGTTTTCTCTTAGAACTGTTTTCAAAGACAGGTTCTCCAATGGGTGAAAGGCATGCCAAGTATGCCCCAAATCCAGAATTGGTAGCGGATTACCATCAATTAAACTATTCTCAGGAGATTATTCCTACCCTCTACAGAAATAAAAGTTTATAAGCATGGTACTGCCAAATTAAGTGACACTACTTTACAGTAATTCAAACTAATATTAGATAATTTATGTAAATAAAAGTTTAGTTTCACAGAATAGTCATCCTTTACATCAATGACAAAGTTGTATAATTAATAACCAGATAAAAGTATTACTGAGCTCTTCAATATTTACTGTATATTCAAGTGATATATTTTAATAATCTTAGATTATGTTTTTTAGTAAGTAACATGAAATTTTCAGAAATTCTGTTTGGGAATATATTTTGCACACATGGCATGCATGTTTGGTGAAGAGGGTGTTAAAAGTATAAGAAAAAATCACCTCTGATATTTTGATATTACATTTAGTATACTGAGTATGCTTACCAGATTTAAGAGTAAGTACTCCCCTTACTGTTTTCTATACTGTAGCATTTTTCAACAGTAGCAACAATATTCTCAAAACATATTACAATTTGAAAGCAAATCTTTGTCTTAAATCAGAAGCTTAGCTTAAGTTACATCTTCATTTGAAGCTTGTTCACTACAATTAGATAAAATAAAATATATACTGAATAACAAAAATGTTGGCAGAAGGGTATCCCTGAAGGAAAACATAAAGAACTTTTTATAAGCCAAGAGGAGAAGCTGTCTACTACCTGAACTACAACTGAGGTCAATGTAATTTTTGCATGCAGAAACCATGAAGTCACAAATTCAGGCTACATCTCATACTTTTGCATTTTCATCTTCCTGGATCTCCAGAATTAGAAGCATAATTCGTTCTTCTTAAGTTCCAGAACTTTACATATGTGCTCACCTGAAGTTCCTATGAAGATCTATGACTTGTTGCTTACATTAGGTTTGCCAATTAAAATCCAAGCGTGGGGAAAAAAACAGAGCTTATCTAACTGACTCTAAGTTCCATCTTTTTAGAAATGGTAAATTGAATTGTTTTTCAGGTCTTGGAAAGTAGGGAAATCATCCCTTTTGAACCCAAATTATTAAAGACTGCAATGCTAGGTTAAGAAAAGCAAAGAAGGGTTACAAATTGAAAGCACTGTTGCTTCTACAAATATAAAATGTTTCCTGTTTCTGCGCACATATATATCTTCCATGAAAAAAACACAGAGTTAGGATTATTAATTTAAGATGGTTACTATGAACTCCAAGACGAAATAGACTTCCTTTACTACTAAGATGTTAAATATCCCAAGATCAAGGATAGAGCTGAAGTTATTGTTTTTTTCTGTGATCGTAAAATATATAGAGTGAAGCCTTTTATCTTGTGACCTAGTGACAGGGGTCATAGGTTTGATTGTATTAGAGAAGGGAATGGATTTCCTATGAAAGCATAACCTCAGGAGCCCAAACCCTAAAAAGAATGTTAGATTCATTTTACTGAGAACATTCTGAGCATTTAAAAGCTGACATAACACTTCTGAGTATGTCTAACCTGTAAGTTACTGTTTAAAATAGCTTTCTTTTTTTTTTTCCCTGTATGTATAAATCTTATCCCAAAACACTGCAAGTGAAACTGTTTGTACAACTGCAATGGTACTGGCACTTGCCAAAGCCAATCACACTACAGAGATGCTGCCACGTAGCTTCCCCCAGATTAACGTGTCAAGATGCCTCATGTTGAAGTGATGGGACATTTCGTTGAATATTTACATCCCTTTTATTTGAAGATTTCCAGTCATGCCAAATATTATGATGGGATTATTCGTTAAGCAGGTTTTTAGATTGGGCATAATCAAAATCTATATGAAAACAACAAAAAGACTGGAAAAACTATCATATACCACGTTTTACTACTAGAAGTGACAATAGCCTTAAGAAAGGGAATTGTACCATACTACAATTCATATTAGTATTATCTCAAAATCAAACCCCAACAGTTGAAATAATATAATCATTTAAGACAGTTACCTTCTGCCATTCAAGTTCCTGTTTCTCTACAACAATTTTACTTATTTGATCTTCATAATTTATCTCTGTTTCCTAGTTTAAAAAAAAGTGAAAATTTAAGACAGTTACTGGCAAATCAGACACCAACATAACTTGTGTAGTCTTACTCTTTTTTTTTTTTTTTTTTACAGTCCATTACACAAAACAGTATGTGTATATACACTGCACAGCAAGAAGGAAACAACAGTTTTGTGTATGTGGTGAAATGGCAGATGGCTATCTGCTAAGCTATCTAACAGCTTGGTTGTTTCAGTCAGAAAGCTTGCAGAATAAACAACATAGATTAACATGCACAGTGGAACATTAGGAGCTAGGATTATAGCTCTCAGTTGGCAGGAACAGTTCAGTTCCCTCTTTGTACGTATTCTCTTATGTATCTTAAAAAAAAAAAAAAAGACTCAAAGACAGTAAAACAGACTTGACTTTACTTCACAGTTGAAAAATAATTGAATATCCTGATCAATCAAGTCACAATATTGAGATGAAAAGAAATTCAGCAAGCTGCAACAAATGCATCAAGAATCAATTATTAATCAATGATACAGATAATCGTGGTAATGAGTCAGAATCTTTGGACACTAACAATTTCACAATGACTTCATTCAAAGTAGACTGTTTACTTATTTATTTTGCCATCTCCCACAACAACTGAAAATTTGTGCCAGCTATTCTGTTCTTATTATAGAAAGTGAGATATTTATCCTGACATTTTCTGCCAAGAAGCCTGTTGATTTATCAGATCAATATGAAAATTTAAAGATAATTCATGGATAAATGACACATTTTTGATGAGATGAGCTACCTGAAAGTCTTAGAAGAACAGTATTGAAGTCTAAAGTTCCTTCACAATCCAGAAGATGGACTAAGAACAATTAGGAAGGTGTGTTACATCTCCTGTGCTGACACAAGCACCTTGTCAAGAATAAAACTGCTACTGTGACAATAAATAAGATGCATCTGCTGTTAATCATAGTTCCTAACAAGTTATTGTTTTCCTGAAAGACTGTGGTATTAAAGTCAGATTTTCCTAATAGAAATCACCTTTCCTTGTAAGTTTTTTTTTTTCCTTTTTAAATAAAAATACAAGCATTGGCCTTCTTTTACAAATACCATACTCAAAGGAAAAGCAACAGATTCTCCTCAAAAAAAAAAATTAATCACAACCTCTCTCAAGAAAAGTACATAGGCTGTTTATGTATATCACAATAAACAACTCACTGCTGTCCTGTTTATATAGAGAGCCAAAATAATATCCTTGAAGGGACTTAAGACCTAGAGCTACACTAATGTGTTGCTCTGAGCTTCAGAAGGCCGATTTCCTGCCTTTTCTCTGCAGTGGTCCTTACCTTGAACAAGTGACTACATTAAGGTTAAAAAAAAAAAAAAAAAAAAAGGAGAAATTAATCTCTTGATACCTGTTAAGTAAAAGTCCGTTGAATTGCAATACCATTAACTACTGTTATGTGCCATAAATTACAAATTGAGAAAACAAACTACCACCAGGTGAAGTAAAAAAAAAAAAAAAAAAAATCAGAAACAAGAGAGAAAGAAAGTGAAGGTTTTCCTCCTTCCTATCATGAAGCAGATAATACAAATATTTGGCTGCAAAGAATGACATACGCTGCAGCTAAAGCATGCAATTCTTCCTAAAACCCTGTGCAAAGGAGAGGTTTAAGTTTTAAGTACAAGGATATTTATAGCGCTTCAATTTGTGCAAGAGCATTTTAAACAAGGCTTTGCAACCCTTTCTCACTTAGTGTAACATTTGATCCATAGTCCCACTGTATTATCAATAGAAGTAAAATGGCAAAATATGTCCCAAGGTGATTTAACATAGGTTTTTGACAGTGACATCTTTTATAGGTTTCAGGGTCAAAACTGACTTCCTTGATTGCCAGGCAGTTTACAGGCACATGTGTGGACAGAAATAACACACACTTCTACCCGCAGGAGGCTACTCCTAAGTATTTCAGGAGTTACCTGTTGGACCTAAAAGCATGCCTCTATGCTTGTGTCAATGTTACATGTAAAATATTAAACATACATTTTAAATTAAAATTTGGTTCACAGAGAACTAGAGAAGTTGTTTAGATTTGTTCCTATGATATGTACTTAACAGGTTATAGGTGGAAAAGATCCCTAAAAATTTCTTATGCCTTATGGTAAAAAAAAAAAATAAAATAAAATAATAGAATTGAAAAGATAACAGTGTGTCTCTATTCTGCCTTAACAAATAGTACTTCAGAGTTGCAATGACTTTGTTTTCCCATAATAATCTATAAGCAATTAATGATAATACATTCTAAGTTCCCTGGAGTGACAAAAACAAACTAGGTTGACTCACAGCTTCTTACAAATCTTAAGCAATTTGTGCCACTAAACTACAAATATTATTAAAATGATACATAATTAGCAAAAGTTTTGTACTGAAGTGTAAGATCATAAAATCTGACCCTTAAAGTGGGTTACCTAAATTATTCCTAAACTAATAAAAATGCACTGCAGTTACAATTGTTCCCAGACTCCATATTTCTGCCACTCCCCTGGGCAGGCACCAGCATATCCAGAGGACAACTAACCTGGGAGAAGGATGCAGCCAGTTCTCCCACGGATCAGATCGAGCCTGCTGGAACACAAATATTTGTACCGATGCAACAGAAGTAACGGGAACACATTGCTGCTTGTGATGTAGCAAGGACTCATCCACACAGACAAGAAGACTGCACCCAGAATATCAGAAGTGCCTGTGCAATCGAGTCCTAGTGTGCTTTTTCATAACGTGCTACCCAGTTTTTCAAGAATATTCATTATTTTGAAAACATGAAAACTAGTCATTCTATGATTATTACATTTTTTCAGATCTATGAATGTAACTCTCTCGTTCTCTTCTTAGTAAACTCATATAGTTTGCTATATTTGTTAAAATGAAAGCCTAAGATTTTTTTTTCTTGTAAATTCTCTAAACTGTGACTAGCTTCAGAAAATACTACTCTGAAGATAAATTGATAAAGAAAAAAGATTAACATACGCACTTGGATTCTGACCTCACTAAAATTAATAGCAAAAATATCACTAATTTCAATAGTTGTTGGAGATCAACAAGTACCTATCCATGTGAAACTCATGAAATAAAGGGAAAGAAAAAAAGCAGCAACACAATAGTGTTATAAATTTCTGACAAAGCAAACTTCCATTCATATACACCAGGCTTACTTAAATATAACAGTTACCTAAATAAAACTAAGCCTTTAGTATCTAGAAAATAATAATAATAATAGTACAAACTAATAGCAATATTGTTATAAAAATTTGGATTGGAAGACTATTGTAATCAAGCATATATACCATTTCAATTTTAAAATGTGTATTTTAAATCTTAATGAGTACACAAATTGAAAATTTTACAGTTGGTCTTGGAAACAGCATGTAAAATTTAAGCCCTAATTATAAGTAATAACTGCCATATCCACACCAAGTCCTTTACATTTAACTACAGAAATACAAATTGGACAACAGCATTAAATTCCACTTAAATAAGCTCTTTGCTTTGAAACCTAAGAAGGATAGGAACTAAAGTCCTCTAGGGGAACAACACTCCAACTTACTCCCAGATTATAAAGGAAAATCTGGAAGCTCTCAAAAATGTGTATATATGTGTAACTACTGTTGAAAAAAAAAACAATAAACATAATAAATACTTAAAGTGAGAATGACAATTATATGATAAGCGGTTTCATGTGAAACCGCTAACAATTATAAGCCTTATCCATCATTTTTACTTCTTTCAAAGGACATTTATAGTTTACCCATTTTGAAGTGAAGGCTTTTAAAACTTGCGAAGCAATTTTTTAAAAAGTTCCTACAGCTGTTTAATAAGACCCAAACATTTTTGTTATACTTGGGAGCATAACGTTGTATATAACTTTGATGAGGTATCAAAAAAACACAAAACCTTAAAAGTGTTCATTTTTTATTAGATGCCTTAGGACTACATGGATTTAAGTGTTTTTATAAAAAGACTACCATAACAATAAAAGAGGAGTAATTTGATGGTTTATTTACTCGTTATAACCTTTAGAAAGTGTCAAGCCTTCTTTAAAGTGTTTGCTTCAGGCTGTAGTTTTACAAGATGGGCTGTGGATTGGTCAAGCCCCCTCGATTCTTGACCCTGAACAGATTTAGGAACGGAGTACAGCTGGCTCACGTCCAAGCAGCCAAAACTGCTGTTAGGTACTTTTATTATCTTTTTCGAACTCATAATCTACCTCCTACGAAATTGCACATCCAATTTCTCATGCAGCTCAATCAAATAGTACTTATAGAAACTACAGTTTGTTTGTTTCATGCTATAATTAGGATATCCTTCATGAACTAAACAGTCAAGCACAACTTTTAGAAGACTGCATGGATACTCTTAAGTTCCTCCTCTCACTAATTTCCTCTTTTTACTCTATCGTTTAAAAAAAAAATTGCAAATCATGCTCATCACTATACTTATTGCTTGCTGGCTGTTTGAATTGCAATAAATCTCACCAAAAATCTTTCATTTCCCTGACATCCTCTTCAGTTTTACCAGTCATTTCTGCCTTATCCCCCTTCTAAAAAAGTAGGTGCCCCCCTCATTGACTCAAGGTACAGTATTGAAATATCTTTTTTTTTTTTTCTTCTCCCCATGATTCTACTCAAAGAAGATTAAAGATACCTGAAGTCCAGACTCTTTTGCAAGCAAGCAAGAAAACAAACAAAAAAAAACCAACACACCGCAAACACAAACACAAAAAAAAACAACACACCGCAAACACAAACAACAACAAACTTGATTTCTGCAACAGTTCCATCGAATCCCACAGGTTTGAGTTCTCAAAATAAATGGACTCCCCTAAGCAGCCTATATCACTACTGCAGGTGCCTCTGGTGCCCTTTTTAACTTCACTGCCACTCTGTGCATCAGAAGGCAGAGTTCTTCTGCAGAACATCCTTCCAAGAAGGTTCAGCTTTGGTATATAGTGTACTACTACATACTATATAGTATATTACCATAACAGTATACTACTGTTAGTTTAGGTCTAGATATAGTACAACCAGTATGACCATAACTGGCAAGTCCACCAATGTTTTAATACCTCTAATAAGTCAAGCTTAGTCTTTATGGTTCACTTCTCCTGATGAGCAACTTTATGGTTTTATCAACTTAGTCTTCACTTAGTATTGCAAACACCAATTTATCTTCTGGGCATAAGTGTCATCTTCAAATACTAACCTACTGCTTTCCATTTGCATCTCAATACTGAAGTCCACTTGCCCAAGTTATCTGTGAAGCACTGCTAAATTCATTATTTAGCCCTGCTAGAACAACTACACACACCTCCATTCTGGAACAGGCTAGCTCAGGTTTTGCATGGCACTACACTGTGCAGTGCAAACCCCTTCAGATTTTCCAGAAAGCACAAGTATGTTTTAGGAATGAAGGAAACAGAAGAGAGTGGTTAAAGCGGGAAGAGCTCCTTCATGACCTCTCTGTAAGAAAACCTAGGAAAAAAAAAATAAAATATATATATATATATATATATATAAAAACAACTAGAAAACCTAGGCCCCTGTTCTGAAGAAGTTGGATTAGAATAGCCAGAGGGGAATGTTTATTCTTGGTAATTTTTACTGAACAGAAGAAATCTATTACAGAGTCCACAGTATTAAACTGAACTGACATTCTGATGTCCTGGTTAACAATCAGAAAGGGCTTCAACAGGTGCTTGTTTTCAGGTATAGAATCGTATTGCTGAAACTTATCCCTTGTACTAAAGAAAAACACTAGTAATTTATTTTGAAGTTGTCACTAAATTCAGTCTTTTTTGTTTGTGCTCAGCTAATCATCACCTATACTTCTTCAACTGTTACCAGAAATCCCCATATCCTCTGTATTAGAATACACTTCTATGCAAATCAGGAAGAACACCCTCAATTTACATTCATGTTTTTCCCACTAAGGATGTTCTTCTGTATATAGACCAAAAAAGAAACTCAATGCACGACATACACGCTTTCTTGTCCTCATAAACATTGTCTTCAAACCTACTGTCACTGTTCTATACACATCATACTTCAGGAAACATAAGAGACTTCTGATTTCACTTACTTCACAGCAACTTTATAGCATTAAATAGACAATATTTATCTGTTAAAAAGAGGATTGCCTCGTATTACTCAATGAAATTAGACCAAATGATTGCAGAACAATGCTGAGACACTTTGGAACAAAGTGATTTTTTGTGGTGAATACCACATTCATTTGGCTGATTGGCGCGTGATGAGTGGGACAGCTAAAGCATCAAAAAGAGAAAAGGACATTCAAGCCCTATCCCTGGGGGAGGGGGAAGTAATAGTTTAAATATATACATGAATGCAATGAGAAGCTACAAAACCTAAGTCTGTTCATATTAAGAGCACACACTCTCCAAACAGACTAATGAATAAAGTGAAGCTCTACTAAGTTTAAGTAATGCATTGTCTACAACAAGCATGTGCACTCACCATCGACAAACTGGGACTATATCTGTAAGATGACAGAATACTCATTTACTTGAAGAAAAAAAATTAGAATGAGCAAATCCTCCAAATTATTTTTGAAGTTAATTACAACTGTACATGTAACAAAGTTAACAAAATGCTTTGAAGTAACTCAATGCACTTATTTAAATAAGCACATTCAGAAAAATCAAAAAATCAATTTTATTGTATCGAGTATGGATTGAATCAGTTCACAAAATATTTTACTATTTGTTTAATTTTTAATCTAACTAGCTTTGCACAGATTATTTCATCTGTGAATTTATTTTTATAAGTTTGAATTTATACTGCAGTACAACCCTATCCAAGTTATTCAAAGCAGTTTATTAAACCCCAGATATATGGTAGTTCCTGTCATGTAGAGAATCCTGTCCAAGTGACAAGCAAGATCAACAAAGGGAAGAGAAACAGAAGCAAACAGATGTAAGATCTCTCATCTAAGGTCAAGCCATAGGTCAAATACAAAATCGAAAGAAAAACCCATTACACTTGGCTATACTGCCTCCACTGGGTTATCAATTTGCTACAAGCCTCGCAAGCAACTTGGAAAAGAAGTTTGAAAAACAAGTGGCAAAGGAATCAGGAAACCAGTAGAGCTTTAACTCTGCTATCTATTTAGCAGATGACACTGGTTTAATTTAGTCCATTTTGTCATCGTTCATAGGAAAACTACCACAATGCAAGACAAGCACTGCAATTCTCTGAGTTCGGATTGTATTTTGGTGTGTGCACTACCTTTTCCTCAGGATTGAATATAAATTTACAGAATAATCCTGCAGTGATTGGATTTGTAAGACTCTTAGAGCCAAAATCACCAAAGGATTTTGTAGCACTGTTCTTTTAAAGCAAAACATCTATAAAGATTCTACTTAAAAAAAAGTGAGTGGCACTATGAATGGCCATATTATTTTATTACCACTGCATGTTCAAAATATTAAAGTTTTATACTCCAATTTTCAAACATACTAAGCCAACAGACCTAAATTGATCATTAAACCCAACAAAAATGCATGCAGATACACTTTAGGCCTTCCAATTGACTAGGTGTAAAATGCTTAATTTTTTTGACATACAATTCTAATTAAAAGCAGGTAATTTTTACAAAAATATCCCCAAAGATGAAGTTCATAGCACTACAAAATTTTAAGACTCTGACAAAAGATATTAAAAATGTGTAGTTATGTTAACAACATAAATGGAGTCTAGCTAATATCTTAAGGTACACTTCAGTAATAATTATAGAAGGTCTTTAGGCTTTAATTTTTAATACAAGAATAGGCTAGACTAAACATCATCATTGTAATAAGAATTTAGGGATGAAGCTGTGGTGAATTTCAACAATACTGCACCAAAAAAATGGGATTGTGCACTTTTCCTTTGATTTTTTATGGCCGTTATTCTTTTGTTTATATTTTTTAAAGAGAGGATTACAGCATTTAACTTAGATCAAAATAAGCATACATCAAACATGTCATCAATACTAATATTTTAAAGTAATAATACACAGCTTTTGAACAGGTCAAATTCATCAAATGAAGAAAGACATACTTTAGATCTTCCAAAACAAAACAGTTCAGAAATGCTAACGGAAAAAATAGAAGAAAAAGCGTGTACCCATTCACAATTGTGAAATTAACCACAGAAAAACATAGCTGCCTTCAATAGTGCAGAAACAATTTCACCTTAGTACTACATGATGACCCTACTCTTATTTCAAAAAGATCCCCTACCCCACCATACTCATATACCAGTATTGTAGGGCTCTAACCTAGTAGTTTAATACTTGATTTACCATGTGCTAAACAAGAAAGACTTATGGAGTTGGCAACGACTTGGATTAGCTTTTCTTCCTTTCCTTATCAGCAGCCACACTGTAAGAGAAGAATCGACTACAAGGAAATACAGAAGCAAAATATAGATCGCTTTTGTATATAGCCTGGTGATCAACTGTAGCAGCCTGTACATAATTATAGGAAAGTCAAATTCATTATTTCCATGCAACCCTTTTGTCTTGTGCAGCCTACACAGAAAATTTCAGTTGTGGACACTGCCTAAGCCCACGTGATTTTTTAAAAGCGTATTTGTAGTTGGTGAATTACTTAAAATACAGTATGCAATTTACCTATACCTATGCAATGCTTTCTGTGATTACATACAGGAAGACAGAAATAAAACATCAATATAAAAACGTTTACCCTTCTTATACGCAGTTCTTCTATAGCCTCCAATAAACTTGTTTTAAAGTCTAACAGCCGAATGGAAATCAATGTCTCTGAGGGACTCTGAAGATTGGAGTCAAGTGTCTGTGGTTTAAAGTCTTCATCCATTCTTACAGATTGTCTGCAAAATAAAAGCATACATTTCCTCTTCAGTTTATCTTTAAGAGGATATTCAAACCGCAAAATTGCAAATGTGGAAGCAGATTTTTTGAAAAGAATAAAACCACTCATTATAGCTGTTAAGCAATCAGTTTTTCCATTATAAATCTGTGTTTAATATTGTAAAAAACAAACAGCTTTATCATTCATTTGCCATACTCTTTTTTTTCCTCTTTATTTTGGGCTTGGTTTCAGTTTTAAATGAAGAGTGATGAGCACAAAGGAAGTAGAACTCCTCCCTCCCAGAGCTACTGCCCTGCACTGGCATGAAGGTACTGCAACTAACACGGCGGGCCATGAGAAGCGTAACACTGCCTACCTCACGGTGTTAAAAGTCATACATCAGGCTGGATTTTAAAGATCTTCCAACTGACTTGAAATAATGAACTAGAGGTAATATTTGGGATTTCTGCTTGTAAGAAGAAAACTTCTCCTTCTATTCCCATGAGATCAACTATCAACTTTGGGGCTTTAAGCTAGCTACACCAATTGTTGTTGAGTAATATTAGTGCAGCTCTTCTAAGACACATAAGCCTTCCTAGGGACAAAGTGTGTTTTAGTGACACCAGAGAGTACTACAATACTTCTGTCAGTTTTGTAGATCAAATGATGCCTGAAAAGGTAACAGTACATATTTCATTTGCATTTTGCAGATTTATTTACCCGTCTATATAGACAGACACGTATACACACACAAGACTTCATCTCCAGCAGCGTGCTAGAATGAACCCAGTCACGTACACGCCTTTAACGCAGCCCTACCCTGTCCCCAGAGAACTCTGGGGGGGTTTCTGCACCAAGAGCTGAAGAGGCTGGGGCAGAGCGCAGGAGTTACGACCGACCTGGCCACTGCTGCACAACCCTGGGGAAGGAATTCCTGGAGGAAGAGAGGAGACCTGGTCTGTATCATAGGGCCATAACAACCACAAATCAGGACACACTGCTTTTTCTTCTGTTGTCTAAATAAAACCCTAGCATAGATCAAATTTAAGCTGCTTGATTGTGGATAATTGATTGATTTCTTGCTCAGTTGCCCCACCACAAGAAGTTATTCCAACTAAGTTACTGAAATTATGGTTTTGCTAAAAAACAGGAAAAGAGTCTGAAATATTTAAATTACTTTGTTAGCATGAAAATATGTGTTTAAAGGACTTCTAAAGGAAAAGAGATGCACAAAAGTCTGAATAACGTACAAACATGTACAACTTCAAGCAATTTTTTATTTTTTTTTTAGTTAAAAAACACTTGTAGCCAAAAAAATTAGAATTAAATCAGCCCCTGGAAAGCACACATGAATTCTTTCATCCAAGTTCCCAAAAACTGTTCCCTACTGATAGATACTGTACCAGTAATTCATAAAGCACAAACAACATTTTTATATTATACCAAATATTGGGAGGTTATCACAGCTACAAAGCTAATAACAGCACTGATATTAGGCATAGTAAATTAGGCATGAAGCCATTTGATTTCAATTTTAAATCCTGCTATATTCTGATCTGAAGGGTAAAATTTTGTGCATATAACGTTAAGACATGATACATGCTCTAATTCTATTGCTGTCACCTCCCATTACACCTTGGAGCTGGAGGATTCTGCAGCAATGGATTTTCACGCCATAGTACTGTTACCACATGGAGAACTGGTTGCCTGTTTTATCAGAGGAAAAGAAAAATAATTGTGCTTGCAAAAAAAATTGATAAAGAAAAATGACTTCCTAACTCTGGGTCCCACCCTACAAAGGAGGGTGCACTTGAGCTTCAGTTATGAAAGGATTCCTGTTCAAGTTATCTGGTAGAACTGGTGCATTAACCTGTGCACACTGAGGTTTGTGATTTTCTTTGCCATCACAGAAACGATTTGTGAATTACTTTCTTAGGGTAATATTTTCAAACCCATGTTACACACCGAGGGATGGAACAAAACAGGCCTCAGGCATCTCTGGACATTCCCCCAGCTCACTGAGCTCAGCAAGAGCACTTGACAAGCAAGACATCACCTCCCTAAAGCAGTGAGAAAGGATAAAGGCTTTTCCGAGAGAAGCTCATTGAGTCTTCACCCATCCCTTCATCGTGAAGTACCATTTCCTCACGCGCAATTTGTACTCGTTCTGCTACAAGGAGGTCAGACTGCTTTTTCTGAGGCTGCAACAAAACGCTTCACAGCCTACTGCTGGGAACTGCAAGGCACAGTACGTGTTACACACGCTCCCTCTCCTCCTCCAAGTTGAGCACGAGACACCCCTGTGGTGCCTCCGCCACAGACATCAAAGAACTTGGTTACCTGCTAAGTAGTTCACACCGTGCTTGGAAGAAAGAAACCTAGACAAATTATAATGATAAAGGTACAGAATTTAATACCTTAACATATCTGCCATATACACTGGTAAAATGCCTACTCTGGATATTTCATTAAAACAGCTATCTAGAGATACTATGAAGACACATGATAGGTAAGTGTCTTTTTGACAAAGCAAATACAAGAAAACCCCTGGTGTAACTAAAGCTATTCCTAATTAAGCAGGTGCATTTTTACCTCAGTTATTGGTATTTGTCAGAATAATTTTAAAACATAAAAAAAAAAAAAATACTCTGGAGCATACACAAGATAACATTCTAGAAATTAAGAAGTAAAAATGAATGAAGTTCTAATTCTGAAGTGTTTACCACATTTGCTTTTCCGTTACTTGTTTTATGCTTAACAAAATAAGGACAAAAATTACTTTTTAAAAAGCACATTATAAAATCCATTTTAACACAATTTTAAGTGCCATAAAGGGCTTTATATCTTTCAAAAGCACTTATTAAAAATTACATCTTAAATACCCTACACTAGAAAGTAAGTTAGCCTATAAGCCTGATAGGGGTCAGGGTAATAACACAGAATGAACAAATTACACTGTCATTCCACTTAAATTATTTAAGTTATTTAATTTGACCTGTAGATAGTCTCTTGTCTTCTCATCATGCCTGACTTTTAAGTGGGAGGTCTTCATTCATGATGATCCTTTAATGGAAGCAAAGCTTTCTCCATTTAACCCATGGTGTTATCAATCATGTACAGGGATAAATGAGGCTGTAAGATTTTGCCAGTATCACAAATGACACTGTGACCTGAGGCCAACATCTTTATTTGCTTCTCCAGTGATTCACTTCAGCAGATATTAACCAATTTTATAATCCATGAAAGGCAAAATTAAAGGACACCATCCATAAAACAGAATAATTCCTATCAGCAACAAAGTGATGTCTGTATTATCTTATAAATTATATGGCCATACAGTGTGGTAATGTAATGAAGTAAAGATGGTAATAATCAAATGCCTAGGGCAAATGCTAATATGCATTTAATCACACAGCATGAAGCCATTTGTCACTACAGTTGAATGCATGTGTACATAAAATACATGAGTCACGTCCTTATTGTTATAGAATAACAGCATCAATTTCACACTATCATTTTACCACAATAACAACCGTAGGTTTTGATATTAACTAAAACATTCCAGCACCAGAAGTGCAACTGATGGCAATATCTTTAAAAAAAAATATTTTGAAAGACATTCCTCCTACTGCTATTCAACTTAACACATTTGAATATTGCATGTGTGCAGAATTTTATTACTTTTATTTTTTTAAACACCACCCCCCCTCCCTTCAGTACATTTTAGCAGCACCCTGAGAGGCTTTTTAGAAACAAGGTAATTTATGGCATTTCAGCCTAGGCTGAGTCAACTCTTAGGTACGTCTCATCCTGGATAAAGAATTACTGATTTTCACTTGCTTGTTTATGGGTATTTACAGATGCATAAACTTCAGATGCGGGCCACTAAATTTGATGTTTTAACTGTAATAAATGCTTCTGTGACAATTGGTGAAAAGCGGTCCAGAAGTTTATGCAACTGAAATAAATTTATCCAGGAACATAAAACATCCACATGCATACAGTTATGCCGAGTTAAGAGCTAGCATTCAAATCTGAACATGCCACGGTACTGCATTTACAAGGTATCAGTGGTGCAGTAGAACCACCAAGTTACATTACAATTTAACAAGCGTGTTCCACATTATCACATTGTACTGAAGTGTAGGATATTGTCCACTTTTAAATCACTTTTAAGAAGTCTTCCTAAATAACAATGGCACAGTATGACTGAATTTTAAATAAGATGGTACCACTGTTAAAAATAAAAGATCAAACCACAGAGGATAAGGTTACTTTCACAATCCTTTAAGCCCCCGAACAAGTTTAGAGGCACTGCCTGATGCATTAAAAGCAAGAAAGCAAGACAATGCCTCATGTATACATCTTCTCTTCCTAAGGAAATGCCTTTTCTTCTGATACTGTTCAAATATCTGCTTTCACTAGAAAGAAGTAAAAACAGATTTGACTTTACCCTATTCTTATCCTAAATTAAAAATGTGGGATAAAGCCTTAATTTCTATTCTGAATCGACTAGAAATTAGACAAGTGTTCCGCTACACCAAATGGGCATAACAAGCCTTTAAACATCCCCCTTTATGCTATGAAGAGCTCACCAGAAAGCACTGGGGGTGAAGCAGGTGTTCCAGATTCCAATCATCAAGTCTGCCTTACACCTTGCTGATAAACCAAACAGGGTTCCTCTGTGAGGAGAGAACCTGCAGACAGTGACAAAGCTTGGATTATAACACAGCTCGGCATATCTCCTACCTAGGGGAAACAACAAGGCAACAAAACTGAAATACACTACATAATGTGAGAACCATACACTTGTTCAGAATCCACCGTGTAAGCATTTAAGGAGGTTAACATGTATTTTACAAGATCAAGAGAGTTGCAGTGTTTTGGAGTTCTTAGGCTTGTTTTGATAAAATAATATTCAAAGACAGCACTCTCCCTATTGTAATTGTGTTTTTAGGAAAAAAAGCACCAATTTTAAACTCAGACCATTTTTGTGGGAAGGGTTATTTATTTTAAATC